GATAGATGATGGCACCGCCCGAAGGAGACAGCGCGGGATCGGCCATGAGGCGTGCAGCCTCGTCCAGTTGCTCGCCGCAATCGCAGCGCGCAGACCAAACAGTCTCGCCTGTGTAGCATTCCGAGTGTATGCGGACGAGCGGTAGCTGTGACGAGGAAATGGGCGGAGCGTCTCCGTTTTCTGATGATGAAGCGGAAGCCGGAGACGAGGGACCATTGGCCTTGTCGCTATGGGCTAGTTTGCTGTCTGGCGTGGGTTTTGGCGGAATACCTTCCGCGCGCTTGAGTTGCTCAATCCGCGAGCTGGTTCTGCCTGGATACAGGCGGCCCACATATGCGCCTCTGGTCATGCGATCCAGCTCCGTCTCTCCAGGGCGTTCTGCGTCGAGGGAGCGAGAGCGTATTTGGCTGCCAAAGACGATTGCCAGGTGCTCCTTTGTGTCGACATTGTTTCTGTACACATGCAGCCACATTTCGTGTCCCGTGGTCGTGGGTATGCGCGCGCGCACCTCGCACTCGACCTTGGGAAGCTGCGATAGCAGATCTGGGCGGGGGGTGTCGGTACGGAGGGAGGTATCGACTGGTATAGAGCGGGGTGGCCGGGGATGCGAAGGAGTCGAAACCCCCGGTGTTGCTGGAGGGGTAAAGGCAGGAGAGATGATTGAGGGCGGGGGATTGTGTCGCTCTTGGTTTGCGCCATGGTCCAGCGTGTGCTCATGCGCCGGCGACGTGTGGAAGTCAAAGTCGTCGTTTGCAGCGGTGCCAATCTGCGGCGAGAAATGGGGCGGGAATGCGGTCATGGTGGATGTCAGGGCGGAAATGATTCAAAAAAACGGGACTGCGGTTACGGGGAAAAGAAGCGCATTACCGGGGGAATTGGACAGAGACAGAGGCAGAGTCAGAGACAGAAACAGAAACCGAAGCAAGAGGAGCAGTGGGGGCGAGCGACTGAATGACATAGCCGAACCCGCAGCTGCTCGGGAGTCGTGATTTTGGGATCCGCCTCCGACATTCGACTAACCGCGGCTATGTAAGCAATTTCATGTGGCGCCCAAATGTTCCGGTCAGCAACTAGGAATTCTGCTCTCGCTCACTTGTTCCGCCCCACACCGACCCTCGGAGCCGGACGCATGCGGGCGAATGCAAATGGGTGCTTGGAGCATTGCGCCTCCTTGCCATGGCGCCAGTGCAGAGTAGTAGAGCATTAGTAGAGTATTGCACATGCGCCCGAATGGGCATTGCCCCGATTCAACTTGGACTCACGCTAATTGCATGCTCACACACGTGTGCTACAAGTATGGTAGTATATGCATCAATCAATCAATCTACCTTGTCACCTGACAACATCTGATTCACCCCAGAAAACAAAACAGAACTCACAAAATACCTGTTTACGTCCCCGCGCCGTGCCATGCCTTTTTAGTCCACCCTGCGCTCTCTGCCCCACACCTCATCGGCGTTCTTCTTGCCCTTGGTCTCTGGAACGTACCATGAAACAAAGGCAAAGAAGAAAGCCGACAGCGCCGCAAAGATGAAGTAGACCTTGCCGTGCAGCTTCGCGCTCGCTAGCGGGAAGAACTGGGCCACGACAAACGTGGCAATCCAGTTGGCCCCGAGCGCGATGCTCTGTGTCGCATCAACCGCATCCGGACCCACGAGTTCACTCGCCAAAATAAAGGGTACAGGGCCAAGACCAACAGCGAAGCCGGATACGAAGAGCAGAACTGCAACAGCTGAGAGTATGGGAATCGCCTTGATGATACCAATAGCAAGCAAAAGCGAGCTGGATCCCATAATCGCAAGAGAGCTCAGCAGGCACACTTTGCGACCTAGCTTGTCGGCAAGGGGCGCACAGCTAGCTGTCACGATAATGTTCAGTGCCGAGACGGCAAGGTTGAGCAGGGCCGAGTTGGATTCGAGCAGACCTGCTAGCAGCGAGACTCCATACATGACGATGCTGTTGATACCACTGAACTGCTGAGCCAGCATCACCATGATGACGGCGATGGCGGCCTTTTGATAGTCGGAATGGCGGAAGACCTGCATGATGCTCAGATTTCCTTCTTTGCCAGACTGCTTCGGCCCGGCGTCGGCTGACGCGTTAGGGCTTAGTAGCGTTTGCTCCTCCTCTGTGCTCATGTTAGTTCACCGTGGCCACATAGCTCGCATATCGAGTGACTGACCGTTTACATGGGACGAATCTGACATTCCCCAGTCGCGCATCTCATCCTCAATGTCTGCATGTTCGCCACGAATCTTGCGTAAAGTCTTCTTTGCAAGAGACACGTTGCCCTGCTCAGCAATGTACTTGGGGCTCTCGACGGACAAGAGCAATCCTGCGCCTTGCACAGCGCCGATGACGCCTCCAATGGCCAAAATAAGCCTCCAGTATGAGTCGTGGCTCAAGAAGTAGCCCAACAGCTGCGTGATGAGAATGCCAACGTTGCAGCCAATCTGTGTAAAGGCGCCAAAGAAGCCCTTCTCGGCAGGAGGAGCAATCTCTGAGATGTAGAGGGGCACAATCACGACCGATGCTCCCGCCGCGACTCCTGACAACAGCCTTCCAAAAGCCATGACGGCAATGTTAGGGCTCAGGGCCTCGAAGACAGGGCCAACCACGAAGAAGATGGTCGATATCTGCATGGCTCTCAGGCGACCGAGCTTTGTCGCGAGCGGACCGGCCGAAAGGGCGCCTATGAGGCCTCCGAGCGTGTATAGCGAGCCCACGACGCCCCATTCTGTCGGTGTCATCTCAATGCATTGCGGGAGGGTCGGGCCTGCGACGGCAGCTGTGATGGACTTTTTCTTGCAACGGATGACATCTTCGGGCGCGTTGAGCTCAGACTAAGATAGACAGCGTGTGTTAGCTATGCAGCTTGTGGGGGATGGGATGTGAGGTTGGCGTGTGGGGGGGACAGACCAGGTGGAAGCCGAAGAGCAGGGGGCCGAGAGTCGCGACGGAGAGGATATAGACAAAGTAGCCGGTCAAGCTGCTGAACCACGAACGGGGATCCATTGCAGGGCTCTGCTGATGGAGGAGAATCGGGTGGTGGGCGCAGCTCCAAGCTGTGTCCGGCACCTGGGGACGTGCCCGTTGCAGCGGGCTCAGCTTATGTATTAGGATACATTGAAGTACACGGTCACATGGTTACCTGGCTACCTGGTCATGATGACGATGGCTTGCAGAGAACGGTAATTGTCACCGCTTGGATGTGCGAGCGATGCGCGACGCGCTCTAGTGAGACGCTTATTGGCTCTGAGGGCTGGTATTTCATGGCAAAGCGTGGCGTGGGCGTGGTTGCGGTATGGCTGGGTGTACCTACTGTGTATGCATGTACTCTACTAGTCGGCGTCGATGGGGCCCCCGGCTGAGGCTCTGCGGGGGAAACAGTCCATGGCAAGTGGGACGCGCGCCTGCCTTTTCGCCGTCGCCGTCTCTTATCCCTTGCACCCTCCTGCCAGCAACCCACCTCGCTGCGTCAGGGCCCCATCCATCCTCATCCTCCTTGTCTAAACTATATCGCCTGCTTGCATTGCTTGCCCCGTGTCTGCCCGCCATCTTCATCTGTACTCAGTCCTAATCACATGATTACGCGCTGAGTCGGTCTGCCCCCATATCAACAGAGACCCGGGAGACTGTCCGGATGCCATGTTCACCGGCTACAACAACAAGAAGCGCGTGACGGAGCGCTATAAAATCGTCGGCTTCATCAGCAGCGGCACCTATGGGCGTGTCTACAAGGCCGAGGGCCGCAACGGTCGCACCGGCGAGTTCGCCATCAAGAAGTGAGTGAAGCACAGCCGAGTGTTGCCATGTCCCACGCTAACACCACCAGGTTCAAGCCGGACAAGGAAGGTGAACTGCAATACTCGGGCATCTCGCAATCAGCCATCCGCGAAATGGCCCTGTGCACTGAGCTTGCCCATCCAAACGTGGTCCATACTGCAGAGATTATCCTAGAAGACAAGTGTATTTACATTGTCTTTGAGTATGCCGAGCATGATCTTCTGCAGATTATCCATCATCACAACCAACCTCAGCGCCAAGCCATCCCAGCTCGCACCATCAAATCCATTCTGTACCAACTGCTGCAAGGTCTTGTCTACCTGCACAGGAACTGGGTCATGCACCGAGATCTCAAGCCAGCAAACATCATGGTCACGAGTGCGGGTAAGATTAAGATTGGTGATCTGGGTCTCGCCCGCTTATTCTACAAACCACTGCAGTCGTTATTCTCTGGCGATAAGGTCGTCGTGACTATATGGTATCGCGCGCCTGAGCTGCTGCTTGGTAGTCGCCACTACACACCTGCAGTCGACTTGTGGGCGATTGGGTGCATCTTTGCCGAGCTGCTCTCCCTGCGGCCCATTTTCAAAGGAGAGGAGGCCAAAATGGATAGCAAAAAGACGGTCCCATTCCAGCGCAACCAGATGCAAAAGATTGTCGAGATCATGGGCATGCCGACCAAGGACCGCTGGCCACTTCTGACGGCTATGCCCGAGCATCATCAGCTCTCGTCCCTCCTATCGGGCAATGCCTCACGCTTTCCGCGTCCGCAGAGCGGCGATGGATTGGAGCGGTGGTACCACCAGACACTCAACAACAACCAATATCCAATCGGCTCCGGGCCGGACACGCCTGGACCAGAGGGGCTCTCTCTCCTCAAGCAACTTCTCGAGTACGACCCTCAGAAACGACTCACGGCAGAAAAAGCGTTGTTACACCCTTACTTCACCATGCACGGTAAGCCTGCAGAAAGCTGTTTCGAAGACTCCAAGGTCAAGTATCCAGTCAGGAGGGTCAGCCAAGAAGACAACGACATGCGTACATCCAGTCTGCCAGGCACCAAGAGAAGCGGGCTCCCAGATGACTCCATCATGGGCCGTCCTGCGAAGCGACTTAAGGAGGGCTGAGATGGTTTTGATACCAGAAGATTGTATGACCCGTGTGATGTGCAGGGGTCATGAATGCAGCCACCCACTTGTACGTATGTTTGCATTCTAGGGTAAGTTCATTCCCGGTTGTCGGCATGGTAAGACGTCAGCTTGCCGATAGACGGTAGTCTGGGCAGCGTAGGCGACTTTGTGTCACCGGCAAGGCCTACACAAAGGCGTTTAACTAAAGCAGGGAGTGGCCTTGATGCTTGAACCGAGGCTCCACGAGCATAGCGGGACTCTGACGCTATACCAGGTTGATGCAAGTTGATGAGGGGCTGGTTATCTGTAGGCAGAGTAAGCTTAACCGAGTAGAAGCAGTGTGTTCTGAAACCGGGCAAATGCATAGAAAACTTACAGCGCGTGGACATGGCCAAGGAAGGGGTCACAGTAAGAGTTGTCTCATGACGGGGGATTGTATTCACTTTTGCGCAAAACCATCTGTCAAAAGCAAGCCACGAGTTACAAGTGTGACGTACCCCGACGGTTGAGGACGTCTTGGGTACGACTCGAGACGGCAATGTGGACAAGAGACGGCGCGGGTCGCGACTGAGTTTGGTGATGGACGTGGAGCATTGGTGCATGAGTGGATAGTACTGTGGGGTCATTCTTGCACATTGTGAGGTTGGTAACATGGCCAGAAGGGATAAAATATGATTGTTTGCACCAGGCCAGCCGATTCAGACCCCGCCGTGTTCAACCATGACAAACGCCACTCTACGCCCTTGTGTGTCGTTGATGTCGTAAATGTGTAGTGAATGCATAGGCCTAGCTCTTCGGGGCCTTACAGCGAGCGCCAGCAGTTCCACAGGGTGAGTGTGGAAGGGCAGCAGCGTGTGGATGGACAGTGGGCAAGCGTGAAGCTCGTGGTCGGTGTTTGGTGGCGGCTGCAAGTAAGGCCGTAACAGGGCAGCAGTAGCCAGAGACGGTGAACTCGTCGGCTCACGGGAGAGCGGGCTGGTGTAGCCATCAGGTGTCTACGCGCAATGGAACCGTCCAACCGTCTGTCTCCTCCAGGCCGGCCTCGCACTAGGACGCTCTTGCAAACGGGCTCCTCGCTCGGCTCATCATTCACTCTGGTTGCATTCATTTCCTGCTAGCTCCCTCGTGAGCAGTGTCGTTGCTTGATTGGCCGGCATACGTTGCTGTTTGTTTGTGGCCCCTCTGGTAAAGGCAGGCGCGCACCATCACCAACGCGGCATCCTTGACGGCCCTGACCTACATATGCACTCGACCGGCCTCGCCTCTCCCCTGCTTCTCTGTCTCAATCACTCATTTTTTCCCGCTCCCTGCGCCTCCTGTCACTCCTTTGCATTGAGACTGCACTCTGGTGCTGATCCTCTACTCCTAACGGCCGACCAATTCACAACATCTATAGTCATCGACTCCCTATAATCTCGACACACAAGTATAACATCTACCCAGGATCTCACCATGAAGCTACTCGGTGCACTGGCCGCTCTCACTGCAGCCATTGCAGTCGCTGCTCCAGCCCACGACGCTGCTCCCCGCAATGTCCAAGCAGGTGGTGCTCCTCATCAGGACGACCCCAAGTTCATCAGTGCCGTGATGCGAGCCCACTGGTACTGGCGGAGGTTGCACTGCGCTCAGGACCTGGTTTGGGACAAGGAGCTTGCAGACGCAGCCCGCGCCGACATCGAGGAGTGCACTCACGACCCTGAGCATGTGGGTATTCGACATGGGCAAGAAGAAAAGTAATGTCTGACCATGTTAGAAACGCCCCGGCAGCAACCTCTCGTCTGTGAGCCCACCGCCTGATGACTACGAGGCGTGGGTCGAGTTTGCGCGTACTGCTACGCACGGCTGGCACGAGGAGGAGACCAAATATCCCTATGATAATCCGCACTTTGACGCTGCCTGGGGCCACTTCACGCAGATGGTGTGGCGCAACAGCACGCGCATCGGTTGTGCGGTTGGCCGATGTGACAGCACTGTCAACTGGCCTGGACGCTTTTACTGCTGTCAGTGGATTGAATCAAGGTGCGGGTATGCAGTTGCTGACTGATGCAGACTACTCGTTCTTCGGCAACAACATTGCAGCGGGCCAGTTTGAGGCTCAGGTTTGGGCACCGGTCTGTCATGACCCGGCGGCTGGCGAAGTGGCTGCGCGCCAGGACGTCAAGTTTGACTGGGCCAGGGCCTAGAAGATGCAAGCTTCAGGTGGCACTGGGCTCAAGATGACGAGCCGTGTAACGATGGTGGCTGACACGAGAGATTTTTGTTGACGATGTGCGGCCTTGGACATTGTGTACCGGGGCACGTGCTACTCGGGTTTTTGTTTGGGTAGGGCGTGGTTAGCAGGTCATGGCGATGTCGTTGTGGTCCGTCACAGTCTGGCTCCAAGGTGACGTTGGCAAGCCATGTAAGCAGTTGACGATAAGGACCATGGTGGCCGGGGTGCAGGAAGGCGTCGGTGGGCACTTGATTGTGAGAGAGGTATTCACGATAGCCTATGAAATTTCAGTGATGGACGATAGCCTCTCTGGCCGATGTGTTTTTTTGATTGGTTCGCTCTGTGGAAGCACTTGGCGGTGGACATGATTCAAGACGGGCGGGGAGGATTGCGGAGGTTCAACAGCACGACGATTGGGGCCGAGCAGCACTGTATATGGAGAGGGCAGCAGGTCGTGAAGCATGGCCATGATTCCACAGGCCGGACACGTGATGTGGTTGCATACGCAGCAAGGTGCAGCCAACGGTGGGGCCGGCACCATGATGCTGCCAGGCACGCGAAGCAGCACACTTGGTGGCATCCTTCTCGGCCTCAGCGGAGTGCATATGTAAGTATAGAGACGTACATGGCGCAGGGGCCTTCGCGATGGGCGTGTGGGACGGGCCCGTCCCGTGGATCGCGATGGCAATCGGTCCTACGCGGCCATGCGAACGCAGCCCCCCCAGGATCCCCCATTTCACACATAACCATGACACGGACCCTGAAAATCTCCTCTGCTGCCCTTGCGCTGTTTTCTCCTCATCCTACATCACGGCCCCAAGCTGGCACATTTGCCTGCCGTCTCGCACACGGCTGCCATCCACACCACCCCACGACCGATGATGCAACTGCAACCGCCATCGACCCAGCATCGGCTGATCCCTGCACACCGGCCATGCGCCAGCCCGCTATTATATCATGGCAACGCCACTGCGAGGCTCGATTCCAGGCCTTTGCCCGCAGACCTTGGAACTCGTCCACCCCCACATATTGAGGCGACTTTGTTCTGGCCACCCGCCTGAATGTACAACCTAGCGCACATGTAGCCCTCCTCTAGCTCCGCGTGCTTTTTACACGAGCCCCCGATGCCCTGCCTGCTGCTCTTGCCTCGTGCCTCGTGCCTGTCGCGCGTGCAGGCCCTCTTCATCGGCCTTAACACTCCGCCTTTGTCCCGCTTCCAGCCCTTTCGACTGCTCTGCTACTCCTCACACACCCGCCAATACACACCCTGACCCACGGTCCTTGGTCTGTCGACAATCTCACTGCGCAAACATGCTAGAGAAGCAAGAATATGTGCCGCGGCACAACGAGGCGAGCCATGACACACCCAGACTGCCGCTCTCGCTGTCTGGTGAAATCAATGCTGCGACCCGGTATGAATTCCTACCCCGCCGCCTCTTTCCTTGCGTGTCTATGAATCAGCACGCTGATCCGGCTCGTATAGATCCCTCCACACAAACCTAAATCGCCTCATTACCTCCCGTCTCCCGCTTGCCCTCCCGCCGCATACCACAGACTCGACGCTTTATGCGACAGGCCTGCTGCATTTTGCACACATTTTCCTGACCTTTGAATCCTTGTGGGCCGACTTATTGCGCGATCATGCCCCGTCCAACTCACCCTATTTGCCTGCGCAACCGTCAATGGACCCCGAAGGTGCTGCTTCGCCCTTTTCGCCATTGCTATCCTATCTCCTTGTAAATCCCTACGACTCGCCCTCACTCTTCACATCCACCCTCGGTGCCCCGACGCCTCCATCTCCTCAGCTCACTTCTTTCCTGCAATCCCTACGGCCGAGAGGCCTGATACGCTCGGGCCGATTAAAGAGGGACTTGGAATACCTGCTGGGCCTACACCCCACCGATCTCGAGGTCCTATTGGCAAAGTACCCGGGCGACAAGGTTGCGCAATTTTGCACCCACATCCGGAAGAGCGTCAACGAGAAGCCCTGGACGCTAGTCAGCTACGCTTGGTGTTTCTACATGGCCATCTTCTCAGGCGGCAGATGGATAAGAGGAGGCTTACTCCATGCCCCACCAAGTTTCTGGCCAACGACAGCCACTGGCTCACAAGAAGAAAAAGCGGATCAGTTTCCAGATCTGAAAAGCCAAGGTCTTTCTTTCTGGCATTTCCCCGGCCCCCACGATGGCGAGGATATCAAGGCCCAGTTCAAACTCCGGCTGTCTGCTGCCGAGACACTCTTCACGCCCGACGAACGCATCGACATGATCGAAGAAGCCAAGGAGATTTTCAAGCAGTGCGCTGAGCTGGTCGATGAGCTGGATGAAATGATTGGGACTAATATCCATTTTTCCCCACTCAACGCCAACAACGACGTTGTACGCGACCACGAGGACCACCACCACCACCATCATCATCAATCAGAAAAGCAAGACGAAACACGGGTGGATGTTTGTCCCATGGAAAAGTCCGGCTTGATTGATCCAAACGTCATGCGTAGGGCGCAACGTCATACCTCTCTACGCAAGCCGGGCCTAGGACTCCGATCGTGGATCAAGAGACCAGAAGTCTCGGGCACCGTGCTGGCCGTGGGCTGTTTGGCTTGTGTTGCTTTGCTCAAGCTGCAGTGAATCCACTTGCATCCGGATGGATATACTTTTCTTTTCTTTTTTTTTGACCCGTTTCTTCAAAGGTGGCATAGTTTGCGACAGCATTCGTCTAGGCATATTCACATGTACATGGGGTTTTGGTGTTTTTTTTTTCCCACCGTTTAATGGCTCTGGGAACGGCTGTTTATCGTGTATGAATGGGTGATGGGATAATAATCAGTGGGCATATATTTACATGGCTTCTTTCTTTCTTTCTTTCTTTCTTTCTTTCTTCCAAGATCTGACAATATTTGTCAAAGGTAGCCGTTGGTTGCATAGCTTGCGGGATTCGTCGGTTGAAATAGAGATACCCCCCCTTTTCCTCCGTCCTCCTCCTTTCTGAGTAATTACTTGCTATCGTTTGGACTTTGTGCTGCATCTTTCTTCGCACTGTACGGCTCGAGATTATGTGTCGGCGTTATTGTTGTTGAACGAATACACACATGTGCTTCTTTGATGGTTGGTCTCACGCTTGGCTAGTCATGTATCTAACGAGTGACGATAGTTGGTTATTCTATGTAAGGAGACGCAAAAACAAATATACAAAAGTAGACGCGAAACAAGACTCTTTGCCAAAATGAAAGAATATAAAAAAGACTCATGGTCGTTACTGTGTTGTTGGATTTTCCTCTGTTCTTTCCATTTTTTTTGGGGCGTTTTGGGTATTGGTGTGTTGTAGGAAATTTGAAAAAGCAAAACTCCAACGCCGTTCTAATTGTTCCCGTTGGGGTTGCTCGTGGGACAATGACGTGCGTCATCTCTTTTCTTTTGTCTTACTCGTGTTTATGGACTGCGTAGTGTCGTAGCGACATGGAGAGTATGTGAGTTGGAAGAGATGCTGCTGTGTCTTGAGCAAGGGTTTGATCCTTTTCAGGGTGTTGTATGTTGTGGGGCTTCTGAGGGTGGCCTAGATTCTATCGCCTCCCAAAGAACCATCTGTGCCGTGAACCTTGCGAAGATGGTTGCGAAGATCGGCCGGGCGAAAGTAACCCTTGCTATTTACGCGGTCACAGCCAGGTTGTGGGCAAGGGAGGTCGGACTGGTCGTGGACAGTACGGAGGTGCTTGATGTATTGTGTCGAGTTATGGAATGCTTGCCTCTTTCCAACGTTGTTAGGGGAATCCGCGTGATCGGAACACCCTATACTTGGGCACCAAAGAGCGTATGCATCGTAATGACCCCGGGAATCCTCGCCAATATGATGATAGTTCCGGACGTGTTGCACGAGATGATCTCTACGCTTGAAACCATTGGATCCCCTATACTTTTTGCAGTACTTGCAGGGAAAGCGTTTGGCGTCATCTCGATGTTTTCTCTCGTGTCGTCGATAAGTGTCCAAGCGAGAAAACTTCTTGTCGCAGTCATCATGCTTACACTTGTAGCCCAGATGACCTGACACATAAGAGTGAATGTTTAAGTCGTATTGCGTTTCGAAACGCACCAGACATTGATCACATACATATTTGGCTGTATCCGATTCCTGTGGGCAGGTTTCAGATTGCTTGGATGATCCAGTCCAACATTCTTGGGTGTCTATCCCAAAAGTCTTAGCCAAAAAGCTTTCCTGTGGAGCAAAGGTAGACGAATATGCTTGAGATCCATCAAGAATGCCGCTTGTGTAAGAAAGACAAACTCTAGTGGAGTCATCCAAAATGCTGACATGATATAAGCATGAATGTAGATAAGATGGTGACAAAACAACACATACTCTTCCGCTTGGTCCATGCCAGCCGCAACATTTGACTGATAGGCTATGTTCTTTCCGAACAGAACATCATTCTCTGGAAAGTATAAACCTGCGTTGGGTATCTCGCGGAACTGTGTGTAGGAGTTGATGTTTTGGGTCCTCAATATGAACTGGTCATTCGGAAGCATGTCATTGACATAACTGTCGTAGCTTGACACCGGATCAAATGCGTCGATGGCAAGGGGACCTGCATCGGGAATATCGGGCAGTTCCTGAAAAAGCCATGGATTTGCTTTATCATCGGTGTCCTCGTAACGGCTGCCGCCCTTTTTGTTAGCAGAGTCTAAAAAAAAAATCTCACCCAGGTTCCGGAAAAGCGTCGCGGTTCATGATTGGCAAGGCAAACTGTGGCTGCAGTCTGACTAGTCGAAAGCGTCGAAGCGAAGTGAAGGCCAAGTGTTGATGCGTTGGCGGTCGTAAAGCGGCAGGAAGGTTGGAAGCAGTTGGTGAACGAACAGGAGCGAATTTGGGTGGAGAGCCAGGCTGAGGGTCGCCAGTATTACATACTGCTCCACAGCAACACGACTCGCTGCTTTAACCAAGGCATGTCAGAAGGCAAATAGCATCAGGCTGAACCCACTATGGCTTTTTGGCTGTGAAATCATTGGAGGTTGTGGAAAAAGGGCAATGGCCCTTTTTTGGTGGACGCGAGTCGGTATGATCTAGGCTGAAGCAGGTTTCCACCTTTGAGTAACAATCAAGAAAACTTTGGGACGCTCTCAGCGAGTGGATGCTCCAGTAGGCGCCCAAGTCGTAGCTGGTAGTGCATTTGCAGCGAAATCACAAGAGATTGCAAGGTGCAGTACACAAGGCTGGTTGTTTGGCTGTGAACAGCAGCTTTGAGAGCTAGTAGTCGAAACACGCTATACCCAACATGTGTAAGGCTTGTACGACAATGAGTATCCGGCATTTCGATTGATCAGCTACGTCAGTAGATGCAGAGGACTAAGAGCACATCGTCATTGAGGAAAAAGACCACACGCCAAAACAACATCTAATGTATATAAATAAAGTCTTGAGAAGTCCTTTCAAGGATGGGTAAAGCAAGACTATCAACCTAACCAGAACTCCTCGCTAGCCAAAATAACAACAATGTCAAGAAAAAACCATGTTGCTGCTGCTGTAAACTCGCACGCCAATCAAAACATGGACGCTGAATGAAGCCGCTCAAATAAACTTCCTGACCACCATGAACAGCAGGGCAGCCACCAAGCCATAAATACATGTGTCAATCCAAGCAAGGTCAGAACTCGTTTGCGTGACTTGCTGGAGTGGCGGTTGTGCAGGTGTGGTTCTCGTGGGTCTTATCACCGGCACGCTATGTGCAGCTTGAACAGGACTCGTGCTTGGAGCCGTCGCTGTGGTTGCACCAACTCCCGAAGTCACAGCCACTGTTTCCTTGCTAGCAGACCCTGTATCAGTCGCGCTCTCGACTGCGCGTCCTTTGCCCTTATCCATCTTGCTATCGCCATCCCCGCCTTTGCCCAGCTCATCTCGATACGCCAGCCTCAGCTCCTCAGGCACTTCTTCCTCCTTCCTCTTGCCCTCTTTTTCCTCAATCTCCTTGACAAGCGCAGCCCTCTCTTCGATAATCTCGGCATTGCTCTTTGCGCACCCCGCGCACTTCCACGCTCCACTCTCTTTGGCCATGCGCTGGCGGGCTTCCTTGCTGCACTCGATACCGCCCAGCTGGCCCTTTGCATCCGTGTCCATGAAGCTTCTCAACGCGACGAGTGCTGTGCGGACGCCCCAAGCGGGCTGCCATGTCTCTTCGTGGTGGCCTGATATGCTGAGGCATATCTCGCGATTGACTTCGAAGCGGCCAGTGGGGGTCAGGAAGCGGAACGATGGCGGTCGCAGCGGGTACGAAGAGGGGAGGATGATGCGACCGTGGTATATGCCGCCTGCGTATGGTGACGGTTCCGGCGGGCCGCAGATTGTAAAGTGCCACTCGAAGAGGTTGGTTTCTAGCGGCTCAGCGTGGTAGTCTGGAGAGGGCGATAGAGAGAGCTCCGAAGCTTCTTTCACTGCGATTCTGTTAGCTATGCGGCAGCTCTGGCGAGCAGGACAGATACGTACGTATGCGCTTGATAGTGGGGTTCTTGGTGTTGAATTGCCCGCGAGTAGACATGGCGAAGGAGAGAGGTGTATGTGCGTATTTCTGTTGCTAGAGCTGGGCGACGGGGTCAGTGGGAAGGTTAGTCGAGGAGATTGAAGTCTAAGAATGTATGGATCAACAGTGGACATGCAGTGTCGGCGGTTGAAACGCAATGGCGCAGAATGCAACGTAAACGTCGACGCGCATTACGTCCTTGGTAAGCGCCGCACCACCGATACAATCGATAAGCACGGCTCTCACTCTCACCCTACCTCTGCCTTGCCCATCGACGCCCATTTCCCGCCCTTTTACTTACGACGAAGCTTTTGCTGGGCCCTTGTTGGTTGGATTGCACCATAAGTAATCAAGTGAATGGCTTGAACGGCCGCCTGGGGTTCACCTGGGCTGATCAACTCACCGTCTAGGCCGGTGACGCCCTGCATTCACTCGTGACACTTGACGTCTGTCACATGCTACCGTCACTCACACGATATCACCATTCCAGCAGCTTCATTGATGCAAAAGAGACAGTCAAATGTCCTTGCGCTATAGATGCGCTATATATACATATGTACATGGCCAAACACTCAACGGCTTTATAATCATCACCGCACCAGACTATTAATATACGCCACACCTTCTTCCCGGTCACTGTCTCCTTCGACATAGCTTCGGTCCTTGCGGAACACAAAATTGTTGGCCTCGTCCGCGTAGCTTGGCCATTCCGGCGTATTCGGCACTGCACTTTTTGTCAGCAGCTTCCCAAGACTAATCTGAGCAATAATACATACCTCCATGCCCGTTGGGATCCAGATCGTACGCAAAAGCCGTCCACATGCGCATCACAAGCTTGGAGAGCGCGAGGTTCTCGGGTGCCTTTCCCAACGGTGTCATCTGCTGTTCCGTGTTGCCAAACACGAACGGTATCTGTAAATGTCAGTCTCACCAAGTCCCACAATTGCAAACATGGGCTGTCACTTACCTCGGAGAAGTGGTTGACCCCGATATTATCTGGCGTGTTGTTGAACTTTGGTGCGTCCCACCGATATGAGTATACACGGTCCACATGCTCGCTCATGCTTCGAGCCAATAACCTTCTCGGAGCGTACATGGTCAGATCTGTCGCAATGCTCTGATATCGCTTGTATTGCAGCCCAAACTGCGGCCATGTGCGGTTGCCCCATCCATAAGGTAGCCCAAGCGCTGGATCGTCCGGATAAAGTTTCAATAGTGTTTCTGCAACACTCTCGTTGACGTTCCAGCGTTTTGAGTGCACAAGCTCATGAATGGCTTCCGAGTCGTTGTCTACACCATTGACACCAAATCCCTCATCTGTGTTTGTACCAAGGATAAGCGGGATCTTGGCAAACTTTCCTTGTTTCAACGATTGCTGTCCGTATCTGGGGACAAAGCTACCGTCTATTACATGAAACCATTCCAGGCCTCGAAATCCATACGGTGCAATAGTCTCGTATGGTACATCGCGAAGACATCGAAGCGTGTCCTTTGCACCTTCACACCCGACCGTTTCCGTTAGATTGTCGTACATCTTCTGGTACCAATCCGTTCCGTTGAGCGGTGGGCCAACAGCGCCGCCACTCTCGAGTATAGCAGCACGGAAGAGGCCATTGTTGTTGCCATTGTAAGCTGCAATGTGGTCGCCCACAGAATACGCACCCGCCGACTCGCCCCATATAGTGACCTTGGAAGGATCGCCGCCAAAAGCAGAAATGTGCTTGTTGACCCACTGCATTGCAAGCCGCTGATCACGAAGGCCGAGGTTCTCCGCGCCGGCTTTCTTGATCTCCTTGCTGTATAAGAAGCCGAATGCGGCCATACGGTAATTGATGGATATGCCAATGACAGGCTTCTTATTCAGCACTGACTGCTCTACGATGAAACTCATATTGTACCTGCACTGGATTAGAAAATATTTCCCATCATTCCGGTCCTCTCTTACCGTGGATCACTCGTAGCCCCCTGTGTCCAGCCGCCGCCATATATCCACAGGAGAACTGGGAGGTTGGTCTCGTTCGTTCTCGGCTTGATGATGTTGAGATGCAAGCAGTCCTCGCCGATTCGAGTCAAATTGCCGGCCACCAGTGAGTTAGTATCCGCACCATAGCCCACGCAATCGACTCCATATTTTGTGGCATTATACACATTCTTCGGCGCATTATCGATGAGTCTGGCAGGAGCGAAGCGATCGGGCTTGGGCGCATACTTGATGCCTAGAAAGAGATCTTGATCAAACTCAGCGAGGTAACGACCTTGATATATACCCGAATTTGAGTGAACAATAGGAGAAGCTGCAGTGGCAAAACTTGTGAAGCCCGCCACTGCCAAACAAGCACTGAAGAACTTCATGGCAACAACTGATTGCTGGTGATACTAGCATCTCTGCCTCTCTTCATATACTCCAAATGATATTACAAGAATGCTGCGATTGAGAATAGAGGCGTTCTCGTATGCTGCGAAACTTCCACCAATCAGGCCCTTTAGGAGGCGTGCTACGTAGCTTGGCGATGCAGTGTTGGTCATTCTGTACACAACCCACTGTCAATAGCACCAACAGACCTACCTTGCAAAGAAACAGTCCAAGGACTGATTTTTCCAATTAACAGCCATCCATGACAGCCAGACTTTATATCATCTTTTTCGTAACAGCATCAACGCTTTCATCATTGTCCTTCAGGGTAGTACAAAGCTCGCTGCAGAAGCGAGACACAGCAACCGAAGTCGTCACATTAGCCGGAAAACGTCAGGCCCCAACCTGAATATCTCAAATTAATCCGGGGAAAAGCAAGCTAGGCGGCTCCACACTTTTACCCCCCGCAAAAAAACAAACACACGCCTCGCAAACTGTTTCTTTCAATCCGGCGTTTGAGATTTTCCGCGAGCACACACACACACACACACACGCACAGATTGCATCGTGTGTTGCCGATTTGTGGTGCTGGAATCTCCGATCGCCACCTCTTGGCTACTTAGTACGTGGAGTAGTACGAATAAGGCAAATGAGCGAAGGTGGATATTTGTAGGCTTGGCAAAAAGACTAGTGGAGATTGGGATCGATCGAAGTCGTGGTTGGTTCTCGGGTAGCTTGCTGCGTAAGCCACGTGCAAGACGTTATATGGAAGAGCTTGTGATGCACGCCATGCAACTTGATTTCTTGGTTCTGGGCCACGTGAGAATTTGCAAGGCAGATTGGGATGCGTGGTTGTATATCTTTCTGGTCTTCTCAAGATGTGTCTGGACATTGGGTGAATATTGAGAAAACTGTCATGATTATAAGAGCAATTGCACTCTTGCTGACGTAGCTTTGCTAATCGATTTTGTCAATGAACTCTTGTTTGGCTAGTAGTGTAGTGAAGCTGGGCAGCTTCTTGCCGCTAAATAGGATGCTACTCAATCAACTTGTTGGATTCTGAGTGCTGGAATGTGCAACTACACCGAAATGCCACTGAAGATCCATTTACCATCAAATACTCAAAGACACAACGAACGGCCCACCTATTCACCACTCAATAACTGAATAGAAGCTGCAGTTATATTTATATGGAGTGGTGCAATCATCAAGGATCCTGTTGCATGACAAAACGCCTGGAAAAAAATTGGTAGTAATCGAGGATTTGCACCAAAAACCTCACTTGACATCATTGAGATTTCCAAACTCCCATCTCAATTCAACGCTTGATCATTCTACAGTGATTGTTATTCCTCTACATGTTGGCCTGATGTGTACGTTTGTACTGTGATCTCGATTATAAGATACCCTCATGATGGCCGAGGTGTCGTGATATCGGATAAGCGCAAGGTTATTCCCATCATCACTATTATGGCAACGCACTTGAGCGGTCGATGGACCGTGTAGCCAAAGCCAAAAATCATTGCGTAATCGAATAGCGAGTCGCAGAACTATAGGTTGCACACGGTTGGGGTTTACTGCCTTGTCATGATGCGCACTGGGGGCATTTGAGTTGTAAGAACGGGCTGAGTTGCCTCTAGTGCCCGGTTTGACCATCGGCAGGCGGAAGAAAAGAATTGCTGTTATTCTGCCCTTTTCTTGAACATGCGTATATATCTGGATAGCTACGTGAGCCATGGCTTTTCGCTATTGAACACAAACACAGTACATACTGGCAATCGGTGCTTGAGCGCAGTTCTGACGCAAGTTTCGATCTAAAAGGCGTATGCCCGATCACTCAAAGTAAATATGGGATGGCATATCGTTAGCCAAGGTAGGGATCGAATGAATGGAGTTATGATGTGAACGAAGAATGAAAACATCCTTGGGGGACCGAAGCGATCATGAGGATTAATCGAAGCGAGTGTGATTCAGGGATACCTCACTCCAAATTTGCACTACTTTTTCTCTGCTCGCTTGATTTGTACTTTATTGGGTATACCGATGATGTTCTAGATGACTGCCATCTCCAGACCTACAGTGGATAGCTTTGGGCTTGGCGATATTTTATTCACGTGACTCGCACACACTGCGTCGATCATTAGCTTCTGAAGAGCAGCTGGTTAGTCTTCAACCTCGTTCACATCACCAAGGCGATTGTCATTCTTATTTCCTGGGGCGCTGCGATGCTGTTGCAGGCCTCGCTTGCTGAATGGCCGTAGACCTTAATTGTCGACAGTGTGCCGATAGCCCCACTTTGACTACATGTACCTTCTGTTATACGCATACATGGACGAGGACTTTTTGTGATTCTCGATCATGATGTCGTTTTCTCGAGAAACCTATGTAGGCTGTTTATTGAAAGAATACCAGCTACAGGCTTCATCGTGTCAAGTTGGGATTTTGCCGGTCTCGGCTGGCTCGCCTAGTAGCCAAGATGCGGGTCGGAAAGACTCGGTGTCATAGCGTGAAGCAAATCCTCCGAAGAAATCCATTCCCACTCATCTAAGGACTGATTTTGATGCGGGGTGGGCGTTGATAAGAAAAATGATACTAATCGTAGACCAGATGCTTGTATGACGATTACGAACCCGTCTGTCCCTTGCAGAGCTACTGTAGTTGTCCAGCTTGGCATGCATATGTTGAGATTCTGGCATGTTTTGTCATCGAGACATCTTCCAGGAAGAAACATGTCGAAGCATGTTCTGGCCTTTGCTACCCAGGTCCATGGATTTGGTAGAGAAGTATTTGGGTCCGATCAGGTTGAGGAGCTGCAGTAGATTTTGGTCAACTTTGGGTCCCGGCAGGAGATGTTCTTCGTCAGAGTGTTGCGGGAGAATCAGCCCATCGTCACATGCGGGCTGGATGAATACAGATAAGCTCATGTTGCAGAGGCCATGTTCCACCGCCAGATGATACAAGTGATTGGTGTCATTAAGCTGGCTAAAAGTGCGATCCCTGGCCGTGGAATTGTCGGATTATAGGTATTAGTTTGGCCTGGTGTCGGGGGCGCACGTGATTCGTTGTCTTGTGGGTGAGGGATTGGACACGTCCACGACAGTTGCTTTGCCGCCCACAGTCGCCCTATTTACCTACCATAACGGTCGTTGATGGGCTGCACTAGTAATGCAAGTGTTGGAACAAATGGCGTGTGCATGTGTGTGTGTGTGTGTGTGTGTGTGCGTGCAGAAGCTCGAACCATCCGGCGACCGTGTAGCCAGGGACGGGCTGGAGACGGCGACTGTTTCGGTACTTGCTATTCGCTGGCTGCAGGGTGAAGACGAGTAAGTACATATCGGCATAGAGGCGTACTTATACTTGGACGGTCAGATGCAGCAATCCGACCAAACATCAGTCTGGCGAGTGTGGCACCGAGCGATTGCGGGCTCGGGGAATTTAGGAAGCACGCGAAGGGTCTGACAGAGTGCATAACGCAGCAGGGGGTGGCTGCATGCCGCAGCCCAAGCCGACGTGGGCTGCAAGAGTCGCCATTGCATGCCGACGGCGACATGTGGTATTGCTTGCGAGCACTTTTGCTACGAGTGGCTGTGGTTGGCCGTGGGGGAGTGCAGGCTGGGAGGGCAGGTGTTGTCAAGGTGGAGTGGAGGCCTTTGCTCGCATTCTCTCCCGAAACAGCGGCCTCGGCCTAAGCGAGGCACAACCAAAACCCCTAAAAACGCCCTAGCATGCCAAGCCTAGACCACCATTTTCCGGGGGCAAAAACCTTGGGCCTTTGCTGAGGGCAGAATATCCCCCTTCCAGCCCCCAGGCCGGTGTGCTCCATCTGCTCGAGACATCCAGCGACAATGTGAGTGAGTGAGCAGAGAGTGCTGCTTCACTCCCACGCCGGGCCGTCACGATGCCCTGCCACTCCCGCCCAGTCTCCTTCACTCCTTGGAATCCCCATCCTCACGCACACCAACCCGCGTGCGTGCGTGCGGCGGAAAAACCCAACCTAGGGCCCACCATCCGCGCCTGGGCCTCTTCGGAATTGATGAGCCCCGTAGCAGATCTTCAGGGCCCACGGGGCTTCGTGTTATCTCGTCCCAATCCGGTTACCTTGCGGCTCATCTCCTGGACCCTGAACCCTTTTTTTTTGCAAGACCGACGGCCAAAGGTACCTACGGTGCGAGAATGCAACTCTCCTTCTCGCTAAGCCCCCTCGACAAAAACAACACATCAGACTCAATGACGCGTAGATATCGAATCCCACGCATTGGCTTGCTCCCATATTCCTCTGGCCCTCTGGTCGGCTATCTTGCCATCTCTCCAACACGGCTCACCGCAACGTGTTCACCCCTGGGGCAGCTAGGGCGGGCTGTGCGCCAACGTTGAAATCTCGGTTCGAGACCCACTGTTACGTACCGCCATAGACACGAAGGCGGTGTCTGGTGCACATCGCTGCCCTCGCGACGTTGAAACGTATGTCGGGTCCGTTGAGCTTAGGCTGTATCAAGGGGCAGAGTTTTCGTGCTCAACCCAGCCGCTATCGGTACAAAAGGCTGACCACCGTCCCGCCCCGTGTCTGAACGAGTGTCCCTTCCATTCCCTTTCTTCCCAACCATGATTACGACTACGCACCGTGTCCACGAGGCTCCTGTCAAGACCAGGCTTACGGCTGTGGCCGATGTCCGGCCCATTCCCGACGTCAAGACCCTCAAGGATGCCATTCCCGCAAAATGCTTTGAGCGCTCCATGCTTCGCTCCTTCTCTTACGTCGTCCGTGATCTCATTGTCGTCTTCTCCCTTTTCTACGCTGCTGTGCCCCTGTCTCGCCTAGACGCTCCCTGGTTCGTCACAGTTCCCCTGTGGGCCCTATACAGCTTCGTCCAGGGCTGTTTCTTCACTGGTCTCTGGATTCTTGCCCACGATTGCGGCCATGACTCTTTCTCCGAGAACCTCACCGTCAACGCCATTACCGGCTGGTTCCTCCACTGCATGTTGATGGTCCCCTTCTTCAGCTGGAAGTTCAGCCACGCCCGCCACCACCGATACCACAACCACATGGACAAGGACACCGTCTTCGTGCCCCACCGCAAGTCCGACGTCGAGGCCAAGAAGACCAAGCCAACCCTCCTCGAGAAAATCATGGACCACTCAGCCGCTGACACGCCCATCATCACGGTCGCTTCTCTCATCTTCCACCAAGTCCTTGGCTGGCCAGCTTACATTCTGATGAACGCCGGCGCTGGCAAGAAGAGCTTGACCAAGGGAGACCGCTACACTTCTTCCCGCTACAAGCAAAGTCATTTGGATCCCACTGCCCACGTATTCACCCCGTCTGAGGCTCCTTTTGTCGCTCTGAGCAATGTCGGCCTCATCCTCACAATGACTGCTCTGTATGTCTGGTCCCGCAGCGTTGGAACTTCGACCGTTCTTCTCGCGTATGGTCTCCCTTACCTCTGGATGAACCACTGGATCGGTAAGCGTGTCGTTCCCCCGAGCTGCAAAGTAGTGAAAACTAATTCTCCACAGTCGCTATTACTTACCTTCACCACACTCACCCCGAGGCTCCTCACTACGAGGCTGACAACTGGACTTTTATCAAGGGCGCTGCCTCAACTGTGGACCGTGATTTTGGCTTCATTGGCCGCCACATCTTCCACGGCATCATTGAGTACCACGTCGTTCACCACATGTTCCCGTAAGTTTGACCTATACCGAGCCACCACCATGTCTTGGTCACTCCAACTCTTCGCGCTGAGCCCAGCTGACGTGTATTAGACGCATTCCCTTCTACCACGCCGAGGAGGCCACTTGGGCTATTGCCCCTCTTCTTGGCGAACGCTACATCCAGCAAAAGACCAACTTTTTCGGTGACTTGTGGCAAAGCTTCACCACTTGCAAGACCGTTGAGCCGGGCACTGGCGTCCACGCTGGAGGATTGGTCTGGTCCAAGACCAAGGCTTAAGGCTTGCGCAGTTTGGTTTGCGAAATGAAACGAGGCAAATGAAATTAGACTCTAGACAATAGAAGGTTTAATCCGATCCTATCTTTCAGTAATCCCGGGTACATGCCTAAACACAACTTGGTGAGATGATATGTTGGCACGAAAGATTTAGTTGGTGCTGCTTAGGTGAATTGCCGACTGATGACGTCGTGTGTTGATCATCTCCGGTCACGTGAATACACAAGGTGGTGCAGGCACTCCAACTTGTTTGAGCTGACTGATCGAGAGAACTCCTTGATCTCCAGAATTAACCCCAGAGATAATACGAATCGCTTCGTATTGTCGAATGCCAGGATCTTGCTCGTGTGGGGTGTTTTTATGTGGCTGAAATGTTGCTGTGTATTTCACGTTAGCTCCCTTCGCCCGCAACTATTTAAGTCTTGCTGCTCACGCTTTGTCCCATACATGATTCGTCCGGTTTCTCCCTTCCCATACATATCTTGACCATAACAGGTTAGTAGTCATCTGAAAGGAAGTCTCCTACGCTTCTAGCTTCGTATGGCCCCTCATGAAGATCCAGCGGGCCGGGTATGCGCAATGACTATGTTCTTACAGTCGGCCCTACCCGAAACTCCAAGATCTCTAATGCGGGGGTGGGGCGTCTGTATCCCTCTTCACCACATCGGCAATTGCCCCACAGCTTCCACAAGGACTTCTCATGCGATGCTGGGGCAATCTTTAAAAAGCATGTGCAAGGAAGAGAGTGAGATTCACACTCCAGAACTCACGACATTAGCAAAATGGCCACCGTGGATGTTCAACAACCTGTCGTTCCACCAACACCCTCTGATGTTGGCTTGAAAGAAACGTCCCAGCAAAAGACCGACGACATCTTTCACGGACTGACCTCAAAATGGCCCGTTGCTCTGGATCTCGCAGGTGGAGGTGCACCTTGCCGTCTGGAGGGTGAAGTAGGCGATTTGGTCGTCTTGGGCGAGATTCCAAAAGAGCTAAATGGTACTTTTTACCGCGTCATGGCGGACCCATTCGTCCCGCCCCATCCCAACAATGTTCCTCTTGATGGAGACGGCCACATTTCCGCCTTTCGATTCCATGATGGAAGAGTGGATATGAAGTTGAAGTATGTTGAGACGGAGCGCTATTTGATTGAACGCCGGGCCAACAAGGCCATGTTTGGCCTTTACCGCAACCCTTATACGCATCACCCATGTGTGCGCGCCGCAGTCGACTCAACAGCAAACACAAACCTTTTTTTCTGGGCAGGTCATCTACTAGCACTCAAGGAAGGAGGCCTGCCTTACTCAGTAGATCCCAACACCCTTGAGACTGGTGTATATGATCCCTTTGGCCAAGTCAAGTCCAAAACATTTACCGCGCATCCCAAGGTGGACCCATACACGGATGAATTGGTCGTCTTTGGCTATGAAGCAAAGGGTCTTGCGACAAGAGATATTGTCGTGTATACGCTAGACAAGGAGGGGAAGAAGAAGGACGAACAATGGATCCAGGGTCCTTGGGTTGCTTCCATCCATGATTGCGCCATCACTCCGAACTGGTTGATTCTTGTGCTGTGGCCCTTTGAAGCCGATGTCGAACGTATGAAACGTGGCGGTCAACATTGGGCATGGAACTACGACCGCCCTGCAACTTTCGTCGTCATACCGCGCAGAAAGAGCACCAAGCTCCCGCCTGGCTGGAAGCAAGGCGAGTGGAGGGTGTATCCTTGGGAAAACTGCATGCTCGTACACACTGCAGGAGCATGGGAAGACGAAGACCACAAACTCTACATCGAAACCTCTCGCGTTCACGACAATGCATTCCCCTTCTTCCCTTCCGAGGACGGAAGAATGCCTGCGCCCGACGCAAAAGCAGATTTCGTGCGTTGGGAACTTGACCTTACCAAGCCCACCGACACCCGCGTCCCCGATCCTGAAGTCATTGTGGATGTCCCTTGCGAGTTCCCCCGCATCGACGAGCGCTTCAACACCAAACCCTACCGCTACATCTTCCTCGACGCCTTCATGCCCTCGCGCTCCGACGGCGGCAAAAACATTTTCCACGGCCTCAACGCCCTCGCCATGAAAGACACCCAGACAGGCCACATGCGCTTCTTCTACGCCGGCGACGGCTCCTTGGTCCAGGAGCCGGCCTTTATCCCCCGCTCCGACGATGCGCCCGAGGGTGACGGCTGGATCGTGGCCATGGTGGAGCGGCGAGAGACGAACAAGAACGACATTGTAGTGATTGATACGCGCGAATTTGAGAGGCCCGTCGCCATTGTACAGTTGCCGATTCATCTCAAGGCGCAGGTGCATGGGAATTGGGTTGATGCCGAGGGCTTGAAGGAAAAGAAGAGTTTGGTGAGGGAACCGAGGGTCGTCAAGATTAGTGGGAAGGGGGCTTTGGAGCCGCTTGAGTAGGAGGCTGGAAATGGTCATGGTTGATGGTTTTACTTGGCGCTTTTCGCAAGCTTAGTAGTTTTTTACAAAATCAGTGGCTATCTTGCCTTGGTAGTAGTGTTTCGGTTATGTTCACGATATCTTACTAGGTGACGTTATGCGATATTTGAGCATGGTACAAGCAAGTCTCGGTAATGCAAAAGGAAAGATGCGATTTTACTAGCTTGTTCAAAGTTTGTATGACCAATTTCGGGACTATTACTCGCAATGCCATCGCTTATACGACTTGTCTATCACTATCATGAATCTTGGCTCTATCCCAGCTACTGCCACTGAGTACTTTTAGAACAGTAGTGATGATGATGGAATCAGTCATATTCAATGCACGCTATTCTCGCATGGAGCACGGACAGAACGTTTGATTGCGCCGATGCAGATCCTCTTGGTTCTGGTGACGTGGAGGTCCTTTTTGGTCGGAACATCTCATCCGACTAAATTGTTGCATATAAGTACATAGTTACCCATAAGTAGATGACATGGGCGTCAGAATTATGATTTTTGTTCATCCATCCAGACCGGGGAGCTTTTATTTCTTTTCTTCGGCAAAATTATAATAAGAATACGATACTTTGCTCAATCTTTTTGCACATTCACTGAGAAGATATCGCCAGTAGGCGAGTGCAGAAATCATTGTAGTGTCACTATACAACTGCTAAACTGACTGTGTTCATTGCAGAAGCTATTTGCGATATCGAACCCCCACAGGCAAGAATGCCTTTGAGGTCACCCACGCTGTACCCTGGATAATATGTGGTTGTCTTGCCTTGCAGCTTCTCACCTCCTCCGTATTACTGCCGTGAATACGCAATCTGTAGTGTTACCGGAGGTTAGAGAAGTCTTGATCTCAAGTGCTTACGGTGCCAATGGTTGGATCCGTGCGTTAATTACCTCTGCCAATCATCATAATGCGATGGTAGGCTTAATCCCGGTATGTAGAAATACCGCTGATGACTATTGTGTTCTTGTTTGGGTAACTCTATCCCTGATTCAGTAAAGAGAAATACGAGGCTATCTCCTTATAGTTATTCCACCAGACGCTACACTATAAACGGCATAGTAATTTCCAGCTATAGGTATGTTATTACGCTAGTTATTTGACACCCCCTTACTAGCGGCCTTGACATATGATTTTTCCCTATAACTACAATGGTCTAGAGTCATTTGCACCAATCGAAGTCTGTTTCGGTAATTCATCCCTCCTAATAACCCGAATCCTCTCGGAGCGGCGGAATCGGTTGGTTTCAGCGGCGGCTCAAGATGATGGCTATCTTTTTTTACTGTTTATACAGTGGAGAGAGGGAGGTTTTCATAACAGAGTATAAATAGCTAAACGTCCTGGCACAATTTTTTTTTAATTTTACTCCGCATTCACACATACAAACAGTCCTATTCTTCACGCCCCTTTACTGATCACCAATATGAAGCTTTCTTTTGTTCTCCCCTTAATCTTCGCTGCACTTGCAGTCAGTGCTCCGGTTCAACCCAAAGATGCAAACAATGAAGTCGAAGCACGTTATGATCGTGGGTGTCTTGTATGTTTTCCTCTCCGGTGAAATTAATGCAACGTTCTTGCTAACACTGTCTTAGGCGGTTTTTCAATGTCCGGGAGGGGGGGACAAATAAAGCCTCAAAGCCGTCAATAATCCTATAAAGCTCTCCATGAGGTACTGCATGAGCCTCTCGATAGATTCCTAGCTTGATGGGTTGTATGCAGGTTACGCGATTTGGTATCATCAGTGAGGAATACAATCAATTCGCTGTTGCACGCTCTGTCATTGCTTCGCTAGATCTTTTGAATTCCTTAGTCTTTCTCCTTTATTCTAAATCCATGAACCAGATCGGCGAGGATAGGATTTATTGAAGGGTGGGTTTTTTTTAGAAAAGAACCATTCGTGCCAAGATTCATAAAGTTCCAAAATACAAATTGAAGTGTAGAAAGCTAATTATGTGAAGACTCACGTCGATGTATATCTACCCTTCCTTTGTCTTAAAGAATACTCTAGGAGATGAAAAGATAATAGGACGTCAAATCCATTTCTCTCAAGTGCTAGCAAAATGATCATCGTTTCGTTTTAACCGTTGTTTTTTGAGAGTAATTAAAGGTCTCAACAGGAAATAGCGGTTGTATAAGTGATTCAGGACTTGCATCGGGAAGCGAATAAAGTTCGGCTCATGACCCAAAAGCCTCCAGTCATCCAGAAGTCCAAAAACTTGCTGGTGTCTTAATGTGGCGGCTTTGCAATGAGCTTCTTGATTTATGCTACCATGTGGGAAGTAAAGGGCTCCATAGTCGATAAATTCTTCGCATGTTAGAGCATGCTGCTGGAGATATAGAGCTGAAAGTCTGGATCACATGCCACATTATTCGTGTCTTGGGCCCTTCTTCTTTTTCAGCTTTGGTAGGCAACTGTGAGACCTGCAGCTGCAGATCGGCGGAGCGATTTTTGCGCTACCTCTTCCTACCAATCGCTGGCTTGGGCCTGGCTGTGTAGCTAACAAGATGCCACAAAAGCAAGGCTGCAAGCAGCACAATCGCCATCAGTTACGCCAAGCATTTAGGTATCAGAACATAACTTAGAGTGCTTCAGCGAAACGGAGATATTAACACGGAGACTGTCGGCGGCGATTTTGACGTGGGCAGTGTAGAAGAAGAGTCTGCCATGTCAATGGAAAGCGTACCAACCGAAAATACAGCTTTTCAGCCTGCTCCCTCTTCAGAGGCATCGTCGCCAGCCTTACTTTTGAAAAAGTCTGCCTCAATTCAAGCTTCTCTTTGCACATAACTATTGTGTCATTCAAGTTGCTGATGCTCGTTTTCAGCATATATAGACATGGCCAGGAGCATCATCAGTTGTGAATGTTTTGGATGTGATGTTACTGTTGGTGCAGAGTAACCCTTATTGAACGAGTGATTGAGGAGCTCGTTAGTGATTTTTTGTTGATTGGGGGCTGAGCTGGAGCTGACGCCGCCCATTGCAGCTGACTAAACACTCTGTGGGTCAGTAAAATCCTAGATTTTCCGAAATATTTTATTCATCATCTGACAGGCATATACCTGATCGTTTACGGAAGGATCAAGTATTGTTGTTGTTCCATTAAAGTCTATCTGGGCATCTACTTTGGTAGGATTCGAGCATCTCACCTTTGCGCACAGAAGTGTTACCACTGCGTCCCCCACCTTCCTCGACCATGGAAGCATCAAGAAAACCACCAAGGTCGTAGAAATGTGACTTCCTTGGCCGTTTTTCAACATTTCCATGTCTTCTCCAGTTTCTTTATCCTGAGACGCAGTCCTTCTCCATATTGCACATGCGCCAGCCATTTTGCCTTCTTGCTATGTTGCATCATCAACAATGAAAGCCCGGCGAGTCGTTGCAGTTGGCAGGTAATGATGGTCGCAAACACAGCACGGTGCTCTTCGGCAGTATCGATCTGATACTTCCCCATTGTAATCCGGGTTTTTTGTTGGAGTTGCTTCGACCCAGACGATCTTTGGTGTTGTTGCGGCTGCTGTTGTTGTTCTTTTTGCTGTTGCTGCTGTGGCTGATGATGTCTTTCTCTGCGACTACGGCTATCGCCCCGGGCTCCTTGAGGATGGCCTTGCTTGCTCCACCATTGTGCGACCTCCTCAAACCCAGTCATGAGCTTCTCATATATCACCAGTGTTAGCATACAGATGCCTGACTCTTGTCGGCACCCGCGACATTGGGACAGGACGAGGCACCGAGAAATGTTGTTTTTGAGAAGAAACATTGTGTTCTCCGCCATAGCCCAGTCGGCACCTACAGGGGGTATGACGACTTCTTCGAGGATCTGTAGAGCCATGTCCATGCATTCGCAGTCTCCATCGTCGTAGCTGTTGCTGGAATCCTCGTATGAATCTGTATCGATGTCCATGCCGTTACGTGACGAGCCTGAAGATGGTGTTCGATTTGAGTCAGATACATTTGACTTGGAGTAGGAGGCGCTGCTAGACTTGGAGTAGGAGACACTGCTAGACTTGGAGTAGGAGACACTACTAGACTTGGAAGAGGAGGTCCGCATCGGTTGGTCCAGGGGAGCGAGCGCCTGGTACTGGCTTGAGTCGTAGCTAAACGCGCGACTTGAACCGCCTGATCCTCTTTCCTTGTTGTTGAAATTGCCGACTTGAGTCAATGTGGGATTGGACGAATTTTCAACTATTATGGCACTGGATTAGCATGCGATGCAGTGAGCGCGCCTCATACGAGACGAAACATATCAGTCGGAGCTTACCTGGCATGTGGTTGTGCGAGAGAAGCCCATCCGGATCGAATGGATCAAGTAGTTCAACAAAGCCACCGTGCGTATTGTTCAAATATTCTTCCGCAAAGTCAAGGAAGAATCCGGTATCAGAGTCTTCGGGACATGTTGCAATAGTCTGAGTATTTTGCTCTACTGCACCTGTTTGAGAAACAACCTGCTGAAAACTGTCTTGCTGGATTTGAGGCCCACTCTGGCGTGCAATCTCTCTATTGCTACGATCGCTGCTGCTTCCCTTGGTGGTGGTAGTGGTGCCGCTGTCGTTGCGTGATCCGACATCTGAGCTGGATGACACCGCTTGACCTTGAGATTGCTGTGTCGGTGCCGGTGCTATGCTGGGAACTGCTACTTGGATGCAAGACGAATCATCATCATCCCAAGGGTGTCCGCTCCCTTGAGCAACTGTCTCAGGTTGCTGATCGCTACCATTATCTCCGCCTGTTATCTCTGGACGCTCAGCCTCAGCTGATGTCACTTCGTGCCGCTTGTTGTTGCTACCCCCTCGACTCTTCTGGGTATCGTATACACATCGTGTGCCGCGCTGTTGGCACCGACGACATCCCACTTTCTCGCGGCTGCATCGAAGCTGTAGTTACAGTCTTAGACTTCAGGAACAAATCATGGCCGTCATTTTCAGAAATAAGGAACTTGCCTTTTTCTTGCGGCAGGAATTGCACGCTACATGGGATGTGTTATTAGGCCGGCCCATGCGATCTGTCGCGTGAACGTCGTGCATCTCGGTTGCGTTCTCCTGGCTACCGCATTTGAACGTCATGAACATTTTGATCAGCCATCACCTAATTTTACCGATTTCGAACGTACGAATACGAAAGAAGTTGTGCATTGACTGAGGTTGCACTGCAGAAGTTGGGGAAACTTTATGTATGTGAGTGACCATAAACAGCGCTAGTCTCAGATAGGCATCGTTCCATCTCGTGAGAAATCAGGGTCCATTCACTGAAGCGAGCACCCGAGCTTATTGCCCGATGGGTCAGAGTTCGTTCACCCAGGCGAGCTCTCAATTTGACTGGATATCCGGAGCAAAACTACAATCCCTACAAAAGATGCCAGTACGCACTAGTAGTATAAAATTGTGTAACCTTCTTTTTTGTAGCATTTAAGTATATAACCACAACGCTACAACTTTCATCTACAAAATATGTCTTTTCAACTGTGTCATGGCGAAGGCGGCTGGTGGCAAATAATATCATCCTTTTGACGGGGGCTGTTCTAATTCGGATATTGTGTCAGACTAGGAGGCAAGTCGACAGGATCCTATACCTTGAACCTGCACTGGACAGACCGTTCTAGATGCGCTTTTTGGCCAAAACACATTCTCTCCTTTAACCTAGGTATTTATGTTGAGGATGAAATCGCACCTATTGGTATTGGATCGATTTGTAAGGGTCCGAATAAGATCTCGGTCAGCGCATGGTTGTCTATGAGCTTCTTGCTGTGGAGTGATGTGTTGTTGTGGATCAAGGCAGTTTCAGAGCGGCCGTCTTTGCTCGCGACCGAGTACCGGTGAACTCAAAGTTCGCAAACAGCCTGCAGCTTGAGGACACGTCGAGTGGCAATAGTCCGCGGAGTGCTGATCTTGAAAAGGAAGCTGGATGGAGAGTGGGAAGCCTTAAAACATTACAGCGAGTTGGCTCACTAGCTGATACGTGGGACTGGAATGCCATAACGCCTACGCGCCGGGAGTCACGACCCTGCATATGAAGATAAAGGTGCGGCCCGCATTGTGCCAAGTATCCTGTATAGATTCAAGCAGTCAGCCCACCATTTCGTAGGCAGACAAGACTTACGCTACTGATGTGAACTGCTTGGCGATGTGGGGGCTCCGTGTTTGGGGCTAGTCCAGATACTGTGACGGGGGGGGGGGCGTTGAAAACGAGAGTCCATACTACGTTAAATCGTTGCCTACCGTGCCGCCGTCCCCGACGGCCCAACCGCCTCCTGAGTACCAAAAAAAGAAAACTGCAAATACAGCTGTCGAGCCACACACGATGACTGTTCTCACAAGAAATGATACCCAATGCTTATGATCTAAAAGGATCTCGTGCGAGATTAGTCGCCTTGTGTGTTGGTCTCGTCAAGAGCAGGCGGCATGTCAGCTTACCATTGGATCGCTCAAAACGCCCGAGCAGGGGAGCATTATGCCGCGCAATTGCTGTAGAGAGTTCTGATGGACCACTTACACAACCCAGCATCTCACCTAATGTGTCATCCCTCGGCGAAGTACCGAAATTGCTGTATATATCACGGTCGGGCAGCGGTAGGAGGTCTAGGTGTTCTCGCAGTCGTTACTACGGAGTATAAGAAGCTACCTTAGGTAGCTCTAGCTATAAAAGTGCTAGTATAACTATCTCAAGTATTAGCGAGATATCGATCACGTGATCAGCGCCCCGTGTTGCTCATTACCTTCTGACGTGGACGTGGTTGACGTTCAACCTCGCCATCCCTGTTAAGGAAAGAATTCTTCTTTATTACTTGTAACACAAGCGAGCCGTACAAAAAGGGACCGAAATCACAGAGCTGATAGGAGAGCAGGTTTGATTAAGCTGTACCATTTTTTGCTTCGAACAAGCAGGGTTACATTCGCTAAACATCAAACCGAAAATCAGTGGCTGCTTGTTGCAAGCGAGTGAGTTCCGTGTTCTCTAGTCCGAACCATTTGGTCCTCAGGGATGCTATGGGCCCTTCAAGCTCTGTATATCTGTCTCCCAAGGTTAAGATGGTTCGTCCATTCCAGCGGCATGGCTTCTTCGCCTGGCAAAGACTGTCTTTTCCATAAAGCTCGACCGTATGTTGCTGCGTCGCAATAGCAGAGTACACGACAGCAAGTCCAACAAACTCTGCTGAGCTTACAGGAAGCCCAGCAGCAATGATGGGGTCCGCTAAGTGTTGAGGCAGTAAGCTGGTGATGGTGGCGGCGGGTGCAACACAATTTATCGTGATGTTGTCATTGGCCAACGAGGACCTTAGCGCGCGCATTATTCCCACAAGCTGCATATTCAGAGAACGACCAGGTCAGCGAACATGAATCTAGACTGATCCCAAGGGAAGTCGATCTTACAGCTAGCTTAGACCCACTATATACGGGAAGGGACTGTTCAGGCGCATATGCCGTCGCGCTTGAGGTGATGACAATGCTTCCTTGGCATGCACGGCGGCGGAAATGGCTGATCGAGAGTTTGATAAAATTTGCAGCCGCGCGGAGGTTGACATCCAGCACCCGATATTCAGGCTCAATCATGTCTCCAGTCGTGTGATCAAAAGTATCGGCGAAATAGTCAACCTCTTCTGAAACGCCTGCGTTGGAAACGGCCATGTCAATGTCGCCAGCATATCGAAAAGCACCCAGAAGGCTGGTCCAGCTTGATATATCGCATTGATAAAACTCAACACCTTCCAGCTGTCCGCTTGGAGGCGGGTTGATATCGAGATTGAGCACCCATGCTCCTTTCTGTGCGAAGAGATGAGCTGCAGCGAGTCCAATGCCAGAGGATGCGCCGGTGATGATGACCCGCTTGCCGTGCAAACTCGGGATGTCGTCCAGAGTGAAGTGAAGGGATGTCATGTTTTCGGAAAAGGCCAGCGGAGTCACGGAGCTTCGAATCCGGGTCAACGTCTCGATTTTTGGTTCTTCGAGCCTGTCATCGGAGATGCAGCAAATATGAGAGATTTTGAATGCTTTCGCCAGGCGATACTTCTTTGTATGAGTAGCAAGAGGTCGGGAACGACCCAGATAGGACATTGCCGAGCATCGCGATGCCACATACCAGCTCGCAACATCGACATACGCAAAAAAGGCCTAATTGATACCAAGTGATTCAAGGCCGCGTAAAGAATTATTATATCTTGACTGCAGCAAAGATCTCGTGCAATATTTGAGAATTTTGGAATCATCATCTCATCCTTCCTTAACCTTTCATACAACACTTTGTTCCATCAGAACTGCGTCGCACACTTCACAATGTCTCCATCCATTTTGCACGATTATAATGGCCCCTCTGCCTTCCTCGGCAAGCAAGCCAATATTCAGCAGAAATCTGGCAGCACAGCACCGGCAGTATCCTTTCCGTCTGGCTCAGAGTTTGTGCCACCACCCTCTCGTTTCGTTGCGAAGTGTCATCCGTTGGAAAAGCAGATCACAGCCGAAGTTGATGGGTACTTTCTCACCCACTGGCCGTTCAAGACAGCCAAAGACAGGAAGAAGTTTGTCGCCGCAGGCTTCTCGCGTGTCACATGTCTTTACTTTCCCTTGAGTCTTGACGATCGCATCCATCTCGCCTGCAGGCTTCTGACAATTCTGTTTCTAATCGATGGTATGTTTGAACTCAAAGAACTAGTGAGGTTTTTTCTCTCTGGCTTATCATTTCGTCAGATATACTGGAAGACATGTCTCTCGAAGAGGGATGTGCCTACAACGAGAAACTCATGCCTATTGCTCGCGGTGATGTCCAACCAGACCGCAGTGTCCCTGTAGAGTGGATCATGTACGATCTATGGGAGAACATGAGGTCTCATGATAGACAATTAGCCGACGATGTCCTGGAGCCGACGTTCACTTTCATGCGTGCCCAGACCGACAAAGCCCGACTCACGATTCGTGGCATGGGTCCCTACCTAATCTACAGAGAGAAAGATGTCGGAAAGGCGTGAGTAATATCCCTTCGCGGAAACATATGGCAACACTAACATGCCCTTTCACAGACTTCTCTGCTCTCTAATGAGGTTCTCAATGGGTCTCCAAGTTTCGCCTGAAGAGCTCGTATCCGTTCAACCCATTGAACAAAACGTTGCCAAGCATCTCTCTGTCCTCAACGACATTCTGAGCTGGGACAAGGAGCTTCTGGCTGCGCAGACAGGTCATCCCGAAGGCTCGGCGCTTTGCTCGGCAGTCCAGGTTTTGGCAGACGAGACGTCTCTCACATATGCAGCAGCAAAGAGAGTGCTGTGGGTCATGTGCCGCGAGTGGGAGTACGAGCATGAATATCTTGTTGAGAAGCGAAGGCAAGATGAGAGATTTCCACATAGCGAGAATCTAATGCGGTACATCAAAGGTCTGGAGTACCAAATCAGCGGAAACGAGATTTGGAGCAAGACCACGCTCCGGTACAATGCACCTACCACCGGGTAGACTTATCATTACATCAAGATAGTACATAGGCAGAAAGCATATGCGGTATACAGGTTGCTGCAGCTTAGCCGTTTCTTTAGGCGTTACTGTTATATTGAATTCATGGCAATTTTACTAGAGTTGTGGTCTACTTCTTGGAAAAACAATATGTCGTGCAGTTTCAGTAACGCATCTGTCCTGAATGAGCAATTCCGCCAATGATTGACTATACTGTTCTAGGCTTTATGCGAGTCTTGCATCGGCGAGCAGCCTCAACCGCGCGCCACGGTTACCATTGTATCGGGTAATGCTCAGCTCAGCTAGCGCTAATATGGGTAGAGTTTGCATTCCAAGATTCGACACTAAAACAGAGTGTCAACTTTACTCCAAGCATACATATATGAGAAAGAGTTGCCGCATCTCACATACTGGAGACAAAATTGGTACACTTTCTTAAAGCCAAACGGATATCTGCCCCTTGAACACGAAATGATTGGGCAGGTGCGATCTCCGATGGAGAGTCTCTCTAATTTTCTATTGATCGCTGCTAAGGCAAATCCGCCAGCTGTTCTCATTCTTACTTTCCTTATCGTAAGTTAGCACAACACCACTAATGCAGCATAGGCATTGTAAACTGACTAGACAACAGATTGTTTTATATGTCTTGGCCATGGGCATCTATAATGTTTATTTCCACAAACTTGCGTCCTTTCCTGGGCCGTTGTTGGCAAGGTCCAGTTTGGTAAGTGAATCCAGAACTCCGCACTTCCAGTAGTGTTAGCATTGACTTAGAGCAGCTATGGCGAATCTATCATTCGCAGACTGGTCGCTTTCATCTTGCTATCGAGTCACAGCACCGTAAATACGGTAGGCCCTTGAGATTTTCCTTGGAGCGAACCTATTGCTAAAACTTTATAAGGCCACGTTTTTCGAGTATCGCCTAACGAATTGTCTTTTGCGTCCGTTGAGTCGTGGAAAGCCATCTACGGACATCGCGTTGGCGGTGCACCCACTCCCATCAAGAGTGAATTCTATGACGTATTTGGGGCTGGCTTCAAATCTTTATGCATCGGGAGCGAGCGCGATCCGCATGAACATGGTCGGATGCGCAAGATGCTTTCTGCCGCCTTTTCCACCAGGGTTCTTTTGGAGCAAGAAGACATTATCACCAAAGCAGTTGACCAATTCATTGATAAACTTGGCACGGATGGAGTGCAGGTGAACGGTCTCAACATGACCAAGTGGTACGAAATGGTTGCTTTTGATACTGTGGGCGAAATGGCTTTCGGAGAGTCGTTTCACAGCGTAGAAGCTGGTGGGTTTCTGGTAAGCAAATTAGTTCGTGTTATTGACTAACTTGAGCCATGTCACAGGGAAGCCCCATAGCTGGTCAGAGATTTTAGTCAGCCATCTCTACTTCATCACGCTGATTGATAATCTTCGTCGTTTGCCGTTCGTCGCAGGGCTAGCTAAACTTCTGTTTCCATCAACACTGGCCGTGCAAAACCAGAATTCTCAGTACAGTCGTAGAAAGATTGAACAGTAAGATCCAAAAACAAACTGCAATTTGCCGTAAAGCTGAGAAGATGATACAGGCGTCTAGCAAAAAAGTCCAGTAGGAATGATTTCCTTTCCACTGTCGTCAAAGGGTACGAGGAAGGGACCATAGGAAAGGAGGAAATGACGGCGCACGCCTCCACGTTGACGTATGTGTTCAATGCCATAAAAGCTCTCAACACAGAACCTGCTTGTATATTGACATGCTTCTAGTATTGCGGGTGCAGAGACTACCGCGACTTTCCTGGCCGCGGTAACATATTACCTGCTGCGGAACCCTGTATGCCTTGCCCATGTTCAGGAAGAAATCCGGAGCAGATTTTCATCTTATAATGAGATCAACGCTACAGCAGCTAGGCAACTCACCTATCTGCAGGCTGTCATCAGCGAAGGACTCAGAATGTACGCACCTGGCAGCCAAGGCTTCCCTAGAGTGTCCACAGGCATGAATGTAGGAGATGTATTTGTCCCAGCCGGCGTAAGAACATCCTTTGTTGAGAATAACTTCCACACGTTGCTGATCTCACCTCCAGGCTGAGGTGTTCACACACGCCTGGACATTGACCCATAGTGAGCAGAACTTCACCGATCCGAACAAGTTCAAGCCCGAACGCTGGATGGATCCCAATTCTACCGACATAAAAGCAGCTAGCCAGCCGTTCTCTATGGGATCAAGAGGATGTTTAGGCCAAAAGTAAGTTCACAAAAGCCCCGCGACCAGCTTCACGCTATGACAGGAGTCTCTGGGCTAAAATGAGTTCAGCTTTGCATACATGGAGATCAACTTGATTTTATCCAAGATGCTATGGAAGTATGACATGGACCTTGTAAACAACAATTTGGACTGGGAGCGAGAGAGCCGTTTGCATGTGATGTGGTGGAAGCCCGCATTGATGGTTCGATTCAAGGAAAGAAGGTCTAACTAAATAGCGCGTAACGCATACTCCACTCAAACGAAGAAACTGATGTCTTAGAACACTCGGTAAACGAGAGTTTAGCGCGTTGTCGGGGTATAACTATATGAAATGAGTAGGGCGCTAGCATGCACCCAGATTATATGGCTAGGATGCCGACATGCCGACCCTGGTTGATGATCAGTGATAAGCGGCAACGAGCACTATGCATGTGATTGGAAGTCTTTTTTTTAAATCTTGTGTGCTGAGTCCCGTTTACGAATGTCTTCGCGGAATCGGAGTTGTCCAGAAAGAGCCGAAAGCGAAATTGACCTTTCCAACTCCACTAACCAATAGCATACTCCCGCCTCATCCGCATGCCGACACGCTCTCCATCCGTGAAACAAGGCTCGCATTCTTTGTCTTGCGACTTCTTGTAATCCCTTTTGCCCAAACGAAATGGCCAGCGATGTGCGCCGGCGGAGCACTGCGGGTAGCACCATGGACGCAGCAAATACCCCACTTCAGGAAAAGCCATCTCTCGAGGGACCTAGTTTGATGCTTGGAAAAGAGGAAAAGGCTGTGCTGCAGGGCCAGATGGCCAGTCCGGCTTCATGGCACAATCCTGCTCGCTTTTTGCTAAGTTGCACGAGCAGTTTGGATGGGATTATCATCACTCTGAGCGCTATCGCTGCCATCATAGGAGGTGCAGCAAACCCTTTTGCGCTGGTGAGCATACTCCTCTGGTATTGAAAATATCGAAGTAGGCTGACATAAGTCATCTTGAAGCTTCTTCTGGGTAACATGGGTCAGTCATTTCGCGGCTTTTTCATTGGCGATACCACGTTGAACGACTTCACCCGAGAGGTCAATCAACTCAGTCTCTTCTATGTCTACCTATCCATTATTGAATTTGGAACAATCTACGCTGCAACCGTTGGTTTTACTCTAGCGGGAGAACGTATCGGGCAACGTATCCGTGAGAAGTACCTCGCAGCTATTCTGCGTCAGAATATTGCTTATTTCGACGGACTCGGCGTCGGCGAAGTGAACGCGCGCCTTACGACAGATATCAGCCTCATTCAAGATGCCATCACGGGCAAAGCGTCAGCCACGATCTCCGCAATCGCGATATTTATCTCTGCCTTGATCATTAGCTTCATCAAGAGCTGGATCCTGACACTGGTCGTCTTCCCTGCTCAGATCTTGATTGTTGGAACTATGAGTGTAGGCGCAAAATTCATGATCAAGTATACGGTGCAGTCAACAGAAGCATACGCACCAGGAATGAGTATAGCAGAAGAAGCGATCAGCTCTGTGCGGGCCGTCACTGCATACGGTATGCAGCAGACGCTAGTCCGCCAGTACGAAGCGCACGTTGCGAAGGCGCGTAAGGCTGGGTCTAAGAGTGGGATTGCCTTAGCATGTATGATTGCGGTGATGAATGGCATCATTTTCTGGAGTTATGGCCTTGCGTTTTGGCAGGGTTCGCGTTTCCTCGTTCAAGGCAGGGTCTCACTCTCTGCTATTTTGACGATCTTGTTCGTCAACATCACAGGAGCATTCGCACTAGGTAACATAAGTCCTCACACTCAAGCATTTGTAAACGGTATTACTGCGACAGACAAAATTTCGCAAGCGTGCTGTCGTCAGTCACCGATTGACTCTAGCGCCACTACAGGGACAAATCCTACAACATTCACGGGGGCAATCGAGTTCCGGAACGTCAGTCATGTTTACCCCTCACGTCAGGAAAGTTTGGTTCTGAACAATTTCAGCCACTTCTTTCCACCGGGTAAGATGACTGCTATTGTGGGCTCATCAGGTTGTGGCAAAAGTACAATTGTAGGGCTTCTTGAAAGGTTTTATCAACCAGTCAGCGGCAGTATCTGTACGTAAATCATCTGTGTCAATTTTTCATGCGCCTGCTAAGTAATTCTGAGACTTGGACGATGTTGAAATCTCAACGATCGATGTCTCATGCCTGCGTCAGCAGATCGGCCTGGTTAGCCAAGACCCCACTTTGTTCTCTACCACCATATTCGATAACATACGGTTCGGGCTACTCGAATCGGTTTATGAGAGTCTAGATCCTCGAATGGTTAAAAAGATGGTAGAAGATGCGGCAAGGGTAGCGAATGCGTATGAATTCATCATGGCCTTACCAGACGGCTTCTTAACCAATGTTGGCGACTCAGGATCACTGCTCTCCGGGGGCCAGAAACAACGTATCGCTATTGCAAGAGCCATCATCGGTAATCCGAAGATATTGATATTGGACGAAGCCACATCAGCGCTCGACGCTGTTGCGGAGCGACACGTTCAGCAGGCTCTACAGGCTGCGTCTCAGGGCCGAACGACTATCGCCATCGCTCACAGGTGAGAAAGTCCGTGACAAAATTCAGAGAAGAATCCATTAATAATCAAATAATAGACTTTCTACAATACATTCAGCTGACAACATTATCGTAATGCGCAAGGGGCGTATTGTTGAACAAGGTGCCCACGTGGAGCTCATGGGATTGAAATCGATCTACTATGATATGGTTAATCATCAGGGAGCCCATGAGACTAAAGATAAAGAAGTTTTGGATGAGGCATCCATTCAAAGTGCTCTCGAAGAGGCTACTGTTTCAGAGATACTGCCATTAAATTTTGACGATAAACCTACACCAGCCACAGTCACGCCGTTACAGGATCTAAAGGAACCAAGCTCAATGTGGAGTTTAGCAATGTTTGTGCACAGCCTTAACCGAAAAGACAGTCATTTCGTTATCTTCGGTCTTGTCTTCTCTCTAGTTGCTGGAGCAAGTCATCCTGTGTAAGTGATTTCCCAAAACACATCTAGCCCGAGAAGATAATAACTCTAGCCTCAGCCAGTCGATCTTCCTTGCGAAAATTATATCCGCTCTTTCCCTGAAGTCCTCAGAGTACAGCATGCTACGCGAGTTGGTGGACTTTTGGAGCTGGATGTACTTCATGATTGGCTTCACAACAGTCTTTGGCTGGTTAGGCCAGGGTGTCTGCTTTGCCATCTATTCCCAACGTCTGACACACAACGCGCGTGTAAAAGGCCTAGAGACTATCCTGTACCACGAAATCGGTACATTTTTGCGCGGCGATCATTCCACTGCAGCCCTGACCAGCGTTCTCTCCAGTAGTGCTGCCAGCCTCCAAGGGCTATCAGGTGCTGTTCTCGGAACGCTTCTTGTTGTTCTCACCACTCTCATCGCCGGTCTCGGTCTTGCAACTGCTATTGGGTGGAAGCTTGCCCTTGTATGTGCGAGCACTACGCCTATACAACTCGGCTGTGGTATACTACGCTTGAAGTGCGTCGCACTGCTCGAAGGTCACTCTCGTCGTGCGTACGAGGCCTCTGCGACTTACGCCTGCGAGTACAGCTCTAATATCCGCACCGTCGCGGCGTTGAATCTAGAGACCAAAATTCAAAGAGACTACCATAGAATTCTCGAAGAAAAACGGAAGAAGTCATTGGTATCTGTCAGTCAGTCCTCGCTGTTGTACGCTGCGTCGCACTCGCTGAACTTCCTGTGCGCGTCGCTGGCGTTTTGGTACGGTAGCAGACTGGTAGCAACTGAGAACTACACACTATTTCAGTTTTTCGTCTGCTATACCGCTGTAATTGCTGGTTCGTACTCTGCTGGTGCAATTTTCTCGTTTGCACCAGATGTTGGGAAAGCAAGGGACTCTGCAGAGCGGATGCAGGCGCTTTTTCGCCAGCCTGTCCATATTGATGCAAGGGCAAGTGACGGGTCTACCTCGTCGACAGCCGAAGGGTCTATAGAGCTCCGAAACGTATCCTTTCGCTATCCAAACCGTCCAGATCGGATGGTTCTCGCTGATGTCAACATCACCGTCCAGCCCGGGGAATACGTTGCTTTAGTAGGAGGAAGTGGTAGCGGCAAGAGCACTATCATCTCACTTATAGAACGATTTTTTGATCCAGAAAAAGGTCAAGTCATTTTCGGCTCAAACAACATCAAAGATCAGAATTTGAAAAACTACCGGAGTCAGCTAGCCTTGGTCAGTCAATCCCCAACATTATTTGACGGAACTATACGCGACAACATTGTGTTCGGCATAGAGAATGGAAGTCCTGGTGAGGAAGCTGTGATACAGGCATGCAAAGACGCCAACATATATGGGTTCATCTTGTCTCTTCCGTAAGCATTTTATCTATTCAGCTACTAATATTTCATGAGCTGACAAAAAGTTCATCCTTCTAGAGACGGATTCAACACGACAGTTGGGGCGCGGGGTGTCATGCTATCAGGTGGCCAGAAACAAAGGATCACTATCGCGCGAGCGTTGCTTAGAAATCCGAAAGTTTTACTTCTAGATGAGGCAACCTCAGCGCTAGATTCAGAGTCCGAGAGAGTAGTTCAGGAGGCCTTGGATGCGGCTGCATGTGGCCGAACAACAATCGCCGTGGCCCATCGCATCAGCACTGTAAAGCATGCTGATTGTATCTATGGTGAGTTTGCTGTTATGAAAACTGAAACATTTATGTTTTCCCTGGTTCTCGATTTGTTAACTGTAGCTAGTCCTTGAGAATGGCCGAATTGTTGAGCAAGGAACCCATCGAGCCTTAATGGAGGAGAACGGAAGGTACAGCGAGCTGGTTAAACTGCAGAACTTCAGTGATTAGAATGTACACGAGTTACAAAATACAAGTTACCTCCTTTATGGATCGGTATGTCTTTTTTTACCGTTAAGCGATAGCCCCAATTTCATTGGAGCATTAGATACGTGTTAGCTTTTGCTGGAAGCATAGTAGATAGAGCGCAACCTGAAGCTTTTCATCAAGGGTTTTATAGTTTGAATCTGTAATCGGATCGTTGACAGTGATCAACAGCATGCAGAATGGATATGAAATGCTACTTTCATGATGTTTGTTCCATATTTGAGTGGATCATATCCTGGAAGATGCTTCGTACTGATGCTCATATTTCTTGCAGATTGAGCCTCCGATGACGTTGCACCATGTTCCTTCTATTAACTCTACCCTCAGTCGAAATACAGTGAGATCATTTGTCTGCAGATCGGCGTTCATGTTGTGATCTGGCGTCGAGACTCATACTACAATATATAAGCAGCCAGCCGTCCACGGAGCCACCGATCCTCCAGCAGGCAAGAGACGTGCGGTTTGACCCTAGAATTGAAGCATGTCAAATAATTGCACCTCGTCTAAGAAATTTCAGTGAGTAAACCCTCATATATGGGATCTGCAGTGCTGACTGGCCGCTGGGGTATCCACCAAGAGATCCACTTTGCTATCTATAAATCCTCCTAAGCCGCAATTCTGTCAACAGGAGAAAGATAGGACTCAATGAAAATGCTAGTAAGCGCTGCATTACTAGACTGTTGGGACATGACAATCATTGTTCCGACTCGGATCATATTGTCGAAGAGACATGTCGATTCCAGCGCTGTTTCACTGGGACAACCCAACGTCAATCTCTGCAACCCGGTGCCAATTAATATTATTTTGATCCTTTATTGTGGTCTGATACAGTGCCATCGGGGACAAGGTGCAGGCTCCCTCGTATTATTCGGCCCAGGTACTCTTTCAGACGCAAAAGTAAGGTCTGATGCAGTAATGAGTGTTATAATATCTCGGATTATAGGCTAGTGCCATCCCTTCTCAATGTGTCTTCGTTGATGTCTTGGAAGCTATGCATAGCACCTATATTTGTTTAGTGTGTGGCAGACTTATTGTTTGACAATGGTGTAAAAGTCGTCAAGATCTTGTGTCGAGGGCTCTCTCTCGGCTTTAGACGGATTAGGAAAACTCCACTCCTCAAAGCGACAACCGCCATTTGAACAGCCACCTTATCTTCGTGCAGTTATCCATCACAACTCGGCTACAAAGGCGCAACTACTTTATATTGTTTGTAGTTGATAAACATTCATCCAGCTTTCTAAACTCCAGTCTAGTCTAACGCATCAGTGAAAATGGTTGGTGCTGTCACGACAGACCTCCGTCGAACCGACATCGAAAATCGCGAACCTCTGCTAAAGACCAGCGTCCTTGATCTTTTCGACGAGCACGCGGAACGCAGTCCAAATAGCATCGCCGCTGAGTTCCAGGGCCAGACCGTCACTTACAACCAACTGCACAATGCCTCCATTAGAGTGGCTTTGGAATTGCGCAAACGAGGCTTCCGTCCTCGAGATCGCATTCCTTTGATTACGACGATGAGCTTGGAGATGCTCGCCTCAGTCTTGGGAATCTTGCGGCTGGGTGCTTCTTATTGTCCTATAGACTTCAACGCTTGGAGTTTAGAACGAGTTATCGCCACTTTGGAAGCTGTGGGCTCGCGCTTGGTACTGAGTACTGTGGAAACGACGATCTCTGGCTATGAGCTGGTTCGCATGCCCGAATTGTCGAGGCATATTGACTCTGTTGCAGAAGAGGGGGTCGAGGCACTCAAATTCATCAGAGGTGATATGAGACAATCCGATCTTATTTACATCATCTTTACGTCTGGCACTACGGGAAGACCAAAGGGTGTGATGGTCCCGCACAGCAGCGCTGTCCATCTGGTGCAGCAAAATTTCTCTGGGGCTATGAGAGGAAGCCCGGGTGAGAAGGTCTTATTGTTCTTCTCAGTCGCCTTTGATGGTTAGTCAATACCTTGCTTACAAATGGACGTCTTCAGTAGAACCAAGTCGCGATCTCTAACACACGGGATGATTATAGGATGTGCAGGAGTTATTTTCTCGACCATTTGCCATGGTGGAACTATCGCGATGGCTCAACCATCCGACGTCATCAACACAGCGTCTTCGTGTAGCACTCTCATCTTGACACCTTCAATGCTGGCCAGTTTGGAACCAACACCGGAATTCGACCGTGTACATAGCATTTATATGGGAGGCGAAGCTCCTAACGAAACCCTGGTTAGAATCTGGACCAGCCCGACAAGGAAAGTCTACAACTGCTATGGACCTACTGAGTGTACTACGGCAGTCTCCACCGTGGAGATGATACCTGGAGGCCCCATCGTTCTCGGACACCTTATCTCAGAGGTTGAGATTGTGCTGTTAGATGAAAATCTAGAACATGAAGTCCCACAAGGAGAGATCTGCATTAGAGGGCCATGCTTGGCGGTTGGATATCTCAACATGGAGGCTCTGACACAAAAGAAGTTCTTCTTCAGAGATGGCGTCCGTCATTATCGTACCGGAGACCTTGCTCGTCGCGATGAGGAGGGTCTACATTTCGTTGCTCGTGTTGACCGCATAGTCAAGAATCGCGGATTTCTGATCAACCTGGAAGCGGAAGTCGAACCTGCTCTTCGAAGCTTCTCTGGCGTTCAGAAAGCCGCAGCATTTCTTCTGCAGAAGCAGCTGGTAGCGTTTGTGACGCCTTCTGAGGTACCGGTGGACATTTTACGCGAGTATCTTGTCCGAAAGTTTGATGTGTTCATCGTACCAGACCTCATATTCGCTATCAACGACTTCACGTTGACGCCAAACGGCAAGGTTGACACAAGAGCCTTGCAAGCAATGGTAAAAGATCAAGTGAATAATCGACTACTGAGCTATCCACGCACTGAAAATGATGCATCCACTGCATTGGACGTTGTTCTCCAAGCTTTCGCAGTTATCTTCGATCGACCAGTGAGCCAGATACCGTCTACGGCATCTTTCAGATCGCTTGGCGGCCACTCCCTCACAGCTGTGAAACTTCAATCTCACCTTCGTCGCGAAAACTTCAGTTTGGCTTTGAGCAAGATTTTTGAGTTGGATACTGCAGCAGCGATAGCTCGAGCAGCAGTATCCGCTGACCGTTTCGCATCTGCTGACGTGAGCTCATCAATTACTACATCACTCACGCCGCATCAGCTCCAGCTCTTGGAAGAAACCGAAATTGATCCCTCGAGCAACTACGTTTTTTACTCCCTCACCAGAAACACTGCTAACAGTCCTGTTAACACCGAAAACCTGCGAAAGGCATGGGAGATCATATTTACCCGTCATGCCATCTACCGAACAAGATTTGACATGGACACCAAAGCCCAAACAGTTCATACTGCAGCAGATGTCTACTGGAGAGAGTTCAGCGCAGTCGACTACGAGAACATGGAAACAGTGTCCCGGCGAGAGAGGGAGGCACTGTGGACAACACTACGTTCGCAAAAGTCCTCAACATCCATTTTGAAGCCCAATTTCTGGATCGTCGATGTACCTGGAGAGGCCATCCAGATGAATTGGCTTGTTCATCACAGTTACACTGATGCATGGTCATTCGGAATATTGTTGGAAGAGCTTGAACTTATCATTAACGGGAATGCAGCCACACTTCCACCTGCACCAAGCTACGATGTGGTTGCGCAATACCTAAATGGCGAAGCTAAGCGTCAGGCAAGAGTTATCACCGATTTCTGGAGCACTTACGCAGAGCCATGGAAAGAATTGAGACCAGTCCAATTGCTAGAGCCCAGAGTGCCAAGTGACCAACCGTGGAACAGGTGGGAGTCCGATATCCCGCTGAAAATGGACAGCCTTATTACGTCTGCCCGTCAGCACGGCGTCTCTCTAGCGACAGTTGTCTACACTGCTTGGGCATTAGTTCTCGCAGATTACACAGATTCCAATACTGTGGGTATGAAGATCAGTGTCTCTGGACGAAATATTGATCATCCTGCTGTTGAGCGTGTAGTGGGATCTCTCAATGGCCGGTGTCCGCTCATATTCCAAACCAGGAAAGATTCAACGATTGGCGCGACACTGAGGTCGCTGCAGAGCACCTTGCTCCGCGTCAACGACTACCAGTGGACTTACCCACAATTGAAAAGTTATGTTAAACAGACATTTGGCAACGAAGCATACTGGTTCGATTCTCAAATTCTTGTTTTACTAGACATGCCAGTTGACACAAGCAAATGGCGCATTTTCGAAGTGCAAAAGCCAACTGCTCCCATCGAGCTTAATTTCATTCAAAGAGAAGATACTTTCAATATGCGCTTGCGATATGATGGCACTCGTTATGCACAGAATGATATGGATGGCATGGGCAAACGATTCATCGACCGGCTAATCCAATTGGTTGGTTCTCCTCTCGACGGTAGAATGGCGGATTTGGGCAACATGACGCAAACTGAGGACGCTCTTTTGACAAATTAAATTGGCACCGAATAAATCATAGAGTCTGACAGATTGAATGCGACAACATACATTTTTTGATTTCGCATTGTGAGATGGAGCACTCTGTGCGTCATGTACATACCTGATATCGACGAGCACGCTATTTGTTCCGAAGGCCCAGCCCCTGGAGATTTGCAGATTGGAAAATTTGAAGTTCGGTATTTTCTTTACTAGGTTTAGCGGCAGACTCAGCTCAAAAAGAGTAGAGAATGTTACAATTTGAATTGATAGACACATGTTCTTGTATTGTCGTCCGCCTGCATTCTCTCGAATCTCTCTAATCAGATCAAAACCTCACGATCTCGCGATGGCAACTACCTTTGTCGGATATGCCCTCCATCATTCTGCCGCAAATCCTACCATGACTGCGGTTGTTGGTTTGACGCTTTATCTCCTTGGCCTCGCCTCCTACAGGCTGTACCTTCACCCGTTAGCAAGATATCCTGGTCCAAAGCTTGCAGCACTCACAGTCTTGTACGAATTTTATTTTGATGGCATCAAGAGAGGGCGTTATACGTTCGAAATTGAACGAATGCATGAAAAGTATGGTCCTATCGTGCGTATCAGCCCCAACGAGCTTCATGTAAATGAGCCCTCTTTCATCGACGAGCTTTATGCTGGTAGTAGCAAGAGACGAGACAAATACCCTTATTTCAGCGCTCAGTTCGGGATCCCAGACAGTGTATTCGGAACGTCCGGCCATGACCTCCATCGCCTCCGGCGCAGTGCCCTCAACCGCTTTTTTTCTAAGTCATCGGTCAGCAGACTTGAGCCAGTTATTCACAACGCGATTGAAAAGCTGGTTTTGCAGCTTCAGAAACATTCTGGGAGTGGCAAACCTGTTGCCATTAACATGGCGTTTAGTTGCGTAACGACAGACATTGTAATGGAGTATGCGTTTGCGAAAAGTTACAATTTCTTGGGATCCCCAACTTTTGAGCCGAATTTTCACCGCGCAATTATCGCTGGAACGGACATGGGTCCATGGTTCAAGCAGTTCCCGTGGCTTATTACACTGATGAACAGACTCCCTCAGAGCCTTGTCATGCGGATCAACCCAGAAGCAGCGATCTATGTGCGGTTCCAGGAGGATATTAAAAATCAGATTCGACTTACTCAGAACAACATTGCTTCAGGGTACATTGGTAGTGGAACTGAGAGAACCATCTTCCACGAATTATTGATGGGCGATCTCCCAGAGCAAGAGAAGAGATTGGAGCGTCTGTGGCAGGAGGGGCAGATCGTGATCGGTGCAGGAACAGAGACCACAGCTTGGGCACTTTCAGTTATGCTTTTCTACGTTCTTGATGACTGCCGGGTCTTGAGGAAACTGAGAAGTGAATTGGAGGCAGCCTTTCCCAATGCTGATGAGAGAGTCAGCTGGAACCAGTTGGAGAAGTTACAGTATCTTAGCGCCGTTATTTGCGAAGGGTTACGTCTTTCCTACGGTGTAAGCACACGACTACAGCGTATTAATCCTGTTGGGCCACTTATAGTCAAGACCAAAGTCTGTTCTGGCAAGAATGAAGGGAAGAGCATCACGGTCGAGCAAGAGATACCGGCAGGAACACCTGTGGGAATGACAGCGACTCTCATCCACAACCACCCAGAATTATTCCCGAATCCTGAAAAATTTCTGCCAGAGCGCTGGCTGGATGAACAAGGTCGGCGCCATCATCATCTGGACAAGTATGTTCTGTCATTTTCTCGCGGCAGCCGACAGTGTATCGGGATCAAGTAAGTTTTCTTAGATTTCACGTGAGGACTAATGTTCGTATCGCTAATATCCAATTTCAGTCTCGCATATGCCGAGCTTTACATGGTATTTGGGCTGCTGATCCGCCGCATGGGCTCTAGCATGAGCCTCTTCGGAACAGGCAAAGAGGACGTCGAGATCCACTATGATAGGTTCGTACCCACCCCGATAGACGGAACCAAGGGAGTTCGAGTCGTTATCTCCTCTACAGAAGCTTAGTGGACTTGTTCATATATTGATATCATGGAGTCTGGACTACTTTAGATTGATCAGAGAGTCAAATTGAGACTGACTCTCGTTATGGTAAACCTTTTGGAGGGTTTGAAACACCGCTCTCATGCCTAGCGGAAGAATAGACATTTTTAAAAATTGCCGAATCATTTGCCAGGCGTGACAGGACTGTTCTGTAAACAGAATTTTGTTGATCAACAGTGCGCACTTCTCGAGTGCATCGCGCCAACATCACTCGTGGCTCAGTCCGACTATCATCGGAAATCGCCCTTTCAGGAAATTCCGCGGGGGAGTGTAAGCACCTAGATTTCCGAAAAGACCACATGTGGACCAATGAAGAGATATGGTTATGTTTGCTGCTCTAAATAACCCAAACAACGAACTTTATAAATTGAACGCAAAGGAATTTCATGAACACCGAAGTTGATATTGGAAGTGCCAGCTTCGCAGCGTGTTCTACCTAATTCACTGTTGACATACCAGTTGATAGAGTCTCATTACCTCATCAATATTTCTATTCTGCGCAAACCTTATCACGACAAAGAAATCTTCAAACTCTCCCCACAGGCCAGTTTCTTTGTTTGCGATGGCCCCTCACGCTGATATTGATGTCAGCCACGTGGCCCAAGGACTGGATCCGCGGAGTGAAAATGCGGAACTCGTAACGATATCTATCGGCAAGATTATGGACTGCGATAAAGTGACAGAGGAGACTTTACTAAATGCTGCGAAGGATCTGGGTTTTTTCTACCTTGATGTAAGGGATCATCCTTCTCGAGAGGTCACTAAACAGATCGAGGTGGCTACGTCGGCAGCGCTGCAGTTCTACCAATTGCCACAGGAAGAGAAGTCTATATGGGAGGTTAACAAGGACCATGTTTCTGGTGAGGAGATCATTGGCGGGTAAGAAACTACATGCAGTCCTTGGAAAGATCGAGCTAATTAACGCGGTTGGTGCGATAGATACAAGCCTGCCGGAATTCAGACCGGATCTGTCGCCGGTAAAAGTGATGGATTCGAAGGATTTCTCGTAAGTTTTGACACCATTTTTCCAAGTTACCACCAGCTCGTAGTTTTGACTGAACTTGTGCAGATATTCGAGCATGCCCTGCATAGTGCTCCTCGTGATAAGTCCACCAAATTACCGAAGGAGTTCCAGCAGAGGCGCGAGACGTTTGAAGATATTAACAATACACTGGGCGATATGGGAAGAGTCATTCTGGACAGTCTGTCACGATCTCTAAATTTGGGCGACAAACAGAACCTTGTCAAACATCACCGCAAGGGCCACGCCTCTACTACCGCCCTCGGACTTCTCAAGTACCTACCTCACGAACCTAAAAGTGAGGAAGTCGGCCACGTTTCCCACACCGACATTGGGAGTCTTTCGATGGTATTCTCTGATGTGGGTGGATTACAGGTGTATCATCCTGGAAAGAAAGCGTGGATGTTCATCCCGCCAAAACCAGGTCATACTGTGTGCAACATCGGTGATTCAGCAGAGTTTTTGTCCAAAAATCTGCTCCGGTCGTCACTTCATCGCGTTATACCGCACCCGGCAGAGAAGGGCAAGAGCAAGCTGACTGTTGTATATCTCATGAGACCTGAGACAGATGCCGTGTTTATTGACCGTGAGGGAAAGGAGTGGAGAAGCGTGGATTGGCACAACATGAAGAACCGCCTGTTTGCGGAAGATCTGGAGTCACAGGCTAGCAACCTCGCCCTCACTGGCCGCCTGGGCCATGACGATCTTTGGGACGAGAAGGAGCTTTGAAGGAACAAAATGGGAATGCAAGTTGATGGATCTAAATTTTTAGAGCAGTTGATGAAGCCTAATGTTATGATTGTAGCCAGGCATATAACTTGACGACCGTAAAATTTTCCGCCTGACATCATACCATCATAGTCTGAATACCCCCACTTTTCACCATCTGTAATAGGTTGGCGTGCGCACGAGACTCAATCTTTTGACCTTTGAATTATCATAGGCAACATCGGGAAGTTTATATCGCGCTGGTCATTGAAGCTAGTCAAGGGCATCATTCCTTGTTGCATGTTCCAGATTGATATCTGCTGCATATTGGAAAAAGAAAGACTTTCTCCACTTTCGTCAATTTCCCTACAGCTACCTTGACATTTTTTAGCTGAGTGACAAAAGAAAATTGATAACGGACTTCATCTGGCGAGGGATGTAACATACATAGGTCATGCGCCACATCAGTACAGCGCTGTTGAATTGATGACCTTGTTCGCCAGCCTCACACCTGCAGCTTACAGCTGACCTTCTCATGCAATTTCGACTCAATCTCCGGGGTCATAAAACTAGCAATGACCCCTAGTCCACTGAAGGCGAGAGTTGTTAAGAAAACTGTCGAGTAAGCGCGCGCATTGGCCACCTTAAACATCTCTACTCCTATGTCAATGATCGTGGAGTTCGTTCCGGGAACAGATGTAAGCAGACTTTGGTCCACACTAAGCAGTCGCACAAACTCAGATACAGATGTGGCGGGTAAACCAGCTTCATTCAACGCTGGGGTAACCAACTGGGGTATTGTGGATGTGAGACGGTTGTTGAGAACAGTGGTAAAGATGGCTGCTGAGCAGGTGGAGATGAAAGTCCTCAGCGAAGTAGCAATCCCAACTCCCGTACCAATCACGCTCTGGTCTTCTAAGGTAACAGACAGCGAAGCGAGACAAAGGGCATCCACCCAGCCCAGGGCAAAGCCTCCAGCGACAAGGAGAGACACAACAGTATCGCGATTGTAGGGGGTAACACAAGCCGTTGCTATTGGACGTATGCCAGTTATGTTAGCCAGTTAAATTTCACTCTACATACGGAGCATGTGATACTTCTGATGTAAAGATGACTTACCACCATATAGTGCTGCTCCAATACTTGCAGTAACAACGAGCTGCCATTTGATGTGTCCAATGCGGGTAGCTAGCAAACTCGCGATGATTTGTCCTACTAATGGAGGGGCTGTAATGACGCATTTGAGCCAACCCTGATTTGCTTTGCTTTCCGAGTTGTAGAGGACTGCAACTTGCGTTGGAAAAACAATACTGAAAGCGTAATACATGCTGGCTGCGCAGGACAGTGTAAGTAGTACTGCCACCCATCCCGTGTTTCTGAACATCGCCAGAGGCACAAGTGGCTGCGGTGTAGGACAATGTCTCTCGTAGAAGACAAAGCCGACTAGTATGACGCTGCCAATGATGATAGTGCATAGAACCGCTGCAGACTTCCATGGGTATAGTGATCCGCCCCAGGAGATTCCTAGCAAGAACAAGAGAAGACCGGATGAGAGCAGGAAGAGGCCGCCATAGTCTATATCTCGAAGTGTGCTCTTTTTTTCTCGGGCCCCTCCAAATTTCTGGGTTACCAGGTAACCCCAGGATGGCGGGTGGTAGAATGCCGCCCAGCATAGAAGAGCCAGAACGTTGATAGCGATAAGGACGTAGTAACAAGATCTCCAGCCACCAGGACCATTAGCAACAAGCGAAGTTGCCACAACTGGCGCAACGCCCGATACAGGTATCAGAAGTGCATAAATGTAGCTTGACGCAAAGTAGCGGTAGTTCATCGGTACAAGCTCCGAGATGAGATATGGAAAAGAAACCTGAGTTGATGACCCAATACCGATAAGCACGTTTGCGCCGATGAGAACATTGACTCTATTAGATGTGGCGGCGATAATGCAACCTATGAGAGCCAGAGCTGTGCCTAAAACTTGGAAGTATCGCCGGCCGAACATATCAGAGAGCCGACCAGTCATAGTCAACATGACTGCCTGAGCAAGGTTGCTGGCAAGCGACACCCAAACGATGTTTGGATCAGGACCGATAGACTCGTTGACGGAGATGAGAATTGGGGCAACTAGGGAGAAAGCGCCAATACCCGCCATGCCAGCTAGTCCGATGGCTGCAAGAGAACCGATGTAGTTCATTGATAGAAAGTACTCCCGTCCTGCTTCGAAAAACTGCTCTTTGCGGTCATCGACGACCGGATTCCTAAATGATCCATTTGCATTGTTGGTGGTCGTAGAAGTGTTCTCGGATGGAGCATCTACATCGTGAGTTGAAATGTATGTGGAGTATTTGGTGTCGCCTGTGGCATCAGAATGCATTGATCTCGGGTCTTGCATTACGATAGTCTCGTTGCTGGCGGGGAAGAAAAATTCGTCTCAATTCAAAAGTCGCACAAGGATGGGCTCTGTATCGGGATGACTCCACGTCGCGTCTCTACGCATTGTCTATATCCTTCGGAGCCATCGTCATAGAAATCTCACACCCATACGTGGACGCTGTTTGCAAGCGTATCAAACCTAAAGTTCGGAAATCGCCCAATGCGGCCAATGCCGTTTATCACTCATTGCGAGGTCGCTTATTACCCTTGTAAGACACTAGAACAAACTGCCACATCACCGAAGTGAATCCCGATAGCACCATTCTATGAAGCTGCTTAAGTCGCAAATCTGGTTTACTGGTATGGGTAGCCGTGGCGGTGACCTCCTCAACTACCGGGTTTCTGTAGAGAAATTCTTGTCGCATACGCCCAGTACGAACGTGGTGATTGCGACGACATCGTAACATTCATCCTTATCATTAGTGAAGTCAGCTTTTGCAATTGCTTGATCAGCCGATCAGAAATCGAAATGTTTTGGTTGTTCGTTGCTGTTTTATTCGGGCTACATGATGTTGGACACACAGCCCCTTTGACGACTAAGACGAGCTTCACAGTGGACTTGGGCTACACCATCCAAGAAGGCCTACTCGAGGTGAGACTTACTCTATTGATACCCTCAATTGAACAAAATTAATTTCAAATACAAAATAGACCAGTCACGGAAATGCTCGCTATATCAACTTTACGAACGTACGTTATGCAGCTCCGCCGACTGGTTTGAACCGATTCAAACCTCCAGCACCACCTGGGAAAAACCGGACCACTCAGATAGCAGGACTTTACGGAATTGAGTGCCCCCAAGCCCAGCCTGGATGGTTCAACTACATAGGATCGGATGTTGGAAACCAGACGGAGATGCCTTCTTTCACGAAGGATGACGTCTACCCGCCTCGGCCGGGTTCAAGCGAAGACTGCCTTTTTTTGGACATTCTTGTTCCAGAAAACGTCTTCAAGCAGAGAAATACTGCTAAAGTACCAGTTCTTCTATTCATCCACGGAGGTGGCTACGTACAGGGCTCGAAGACGGAGTACGGATCTGGTGTCGGATTGTTGAATGCCGCAGCACGAAACGACCAGGAACTCATCTATGTGTCTGTCAACTACCGTCTAGGCCTATTCGTGAGTACCAATCGTGAAATCTCTCGTTAAAATACAATCACTGATACTTATTATCCATCAAGGGCTTTCTTGCTAGCTCTGACTCACGCATTTCTCCAAATCTCGGACTCCAGGACCAGGTATTCGCGATGGAATATATCCAAAATTACATTCACCTATTTGGTGGAAACAAAAGTGCTGTCACTGTTATGGGAGAGTCGGCGGGAGCAGGATCCATTCTTTACCATCTGACCTCACTGGAGGTTTCATCTCTTTCATTATTTCAAAAAGCCATCTTACAGAGCCCTTACACTTACTTCATTCCAAAAGTTCAGGAAGAAGGAACACTCCACCAGGTTTTACGAGCCTCTAATGTTTCTTCGTTGCTTGAACTTCAGTCTCTTCCCACGGAGACCCTGCAGACTGTCAATAGCATTGTTGTGGGCAACTCTCGGCCTTATGGCACGTTTGGGTTCGGTGAGTAAAATGGTGCATTCAAGCCTTCAAAACTGACGAAATCATGATCATAGGCCCGGTGTTAGATAACGATCGCTACACAGAATATCCTCCATTTCTTTTGCGTCGAGGACAATTCGACTACTCGATACAAGTAATGGGGGGCCATAACTCGAATGAAGGCCTCTTGTTTGCGTCCCCTTTCATAAAAAACGACAGCCAATTTCACTCGAACATCGCTCTCCTGTTTCCTCAAGCACCTGGATCTGCACTCTCTGTCATTGAGCAAACTCTGTACCCAGCCAACTTTGATGGCTCATTCGGCTACGTGAACCAACTGAGCCGCATAGCACGTGTAGTCGCAGACGCCACCATTACGTGTAACAACTATCTTATAAGCAAGTTATTTGAACCCCTGAAGGATAGCTTTGCTTATCAATTCTCTGTACCACCAGCATGGCACGCCAATGACCTGGAATACACGTTCATGGACCCTAGCAACCCAGGAGCCGGATTGAACGTCACTTTGGCCATCATTATGCAACGTTACTTTGCGAGTTTTGCTACATCAGGGTCTCCTAATCCAGTTAGTGGTGGCTTCATTCCTAATTTCGCGTCCAATGAAGGGTTGATTGTGCAAAATTTCAATAGCACCTTCGTTGGGCCGGTTCTAGATACTGCTGTCAATGGGTCGAAGTGCGACTGGTGGCAAGAAGGAAACTTTATGTAGGCTGTTTGTTATATACATTGGTACATCTTTTTTTAGATTGTAAATCAACATCATAGTTTTTGAGGCGCAGTTAAACCTAGTAAACTTCGTGACTGCTGAAGAAATTTCAACACAATAGTGAAATGCATAGAGCGGTGTTATTCCATTCAAGTAAACTCAATTGAAGTTGAGGCGAAGCTCTGCACAGACATCGTTTGCTCTTCTTGGGTGAATGACTGATCCACATACTTCGGTTTTCAGCATTCTCATTTTCAACTCTTTCCTCAACAAATCACGACCAACTAATTTTTCGGTGCCCGCCTCCTGCCTACTTTCCAATCATTGTTATTTGACTTCTATCCAACTAGCTACACACGCTTCTTCAATTGCACCATCAGAGGGGGTTTCTCCCATAGAGTATGCATCCTCGAATCACGATGCCAGTCGACAGTGTCATCAATTGGCTCCATGTCGTACCGGTAAATAATCTTCGCCATGATAGTTTGAAGCTCCATCCACCCCAGACTATGAAGATCAGCACGCAATGGCACAGCAAGCGGATAGAAGGGACGTACCTCCGCCCCATGCAGGACCGCGTTCCGTACGAAAACGGTTGGCTTGCGTCGAGGTCATCGGTACATTTCTCATCAATCCATCGTTCCGGTTTGAATTTCCAGGGCTGACTGAAATTGGCCGTGGACATGCTTGCTGCGAAGGTGCTTGTCGAAACAACGGTCTGGAGGTCCGCGTTAGATGAAAAGAATTCGAGAAGGAATTTCAATTTGTGATAAGTGAACATACTCCACCTGGTATGAAATGGCCGTCAACAGTGCATCCGCCTGGAGGAACAACGCGGGGAAGCGCGAAAGGAAGAGGAGGGTATATGCGCATGGCCTCTTTTATAACCGCTTTGAGGTATTTGAGAGGAATAGTGGTAGCTGCAGTGATATCTTCGTATCGGGCAAACGATGAACGTATTTCATTCTGCAGCTGCGATAAGATGGAAGGGTTTTTAAGCAGGTAGTAAGTCATGCAAGAAAGTGTTGTAGCTGTTGTTTCACTGCCGGCGATACTTTGGTTCTTCTGTTAAAATCGTAGGTCTTGTTACAAGAGTCTATAGCACGTACACAAAATCAGAAGAGTGAGCAGCTATTTGAGAATCCGAGATGGATTCCTCCTCGCGTGCTTCGATCATCTTAGTGAGGAAATCTGCGCGGTCTGAACGGGTTGCTAATCGACTAGTAGTTCCAAGTTAGATATGCTCATAAGTAAAGCGCATAGCTATCAAGATTGAAGACGTACCTCTGTACCAAGTCCATGGTGTACTTCTGATGTTTACGGTTTTCTGTCATCAATTTGTCGATGAATCGTGAACATATCTTTTGCACAACAACGGAAACTGCAGGAAATCTGCGGAAGCAATCTGCGAGCGCACCTAAACGCAAGCTTTTCGTCACAATAGCGACCCAAAAATGCTCTTTTCCCGCTTCAACGCCACCGAATTCTTTTCCGAACGCAAGGCTGCCGATGATGTCGAAGGTAACTAGATTGAACCACATGACCATATTCGTACCGTGTGCGCCACGACCAGCTTCCTCAAGCTTTTCAACAAGCCGGTCAACAGAATCTGCAATGAGAGGCTCCTGAGATTTGAGAGAACGGTCGGAAAAAGCGCTGCTGAGATAGCGGCGCATCTCAGCATGCTTCCTGGGATCACGCTCACTCACGATCGAGAGCGACTCTGCGGCAAAATTGCCTCCATCGTAGAACTCACTTTTGACGAACGGCTCTACATCCTTACGGGGGCCATATATATCACGCCATGAGGAAGATGAGCTGAAGCTCAGCTCGTTGGGTGCGACGCGAACGACAGGTCCTGCTAATCATCAGCCAAGCTCTGAAAAGAACGGTAAATGGTTGAATTGCCGTATTTTTCATGAAGTTCAAGTTGCCAATAAGGCTGTCTGCCTGTCATAAACTTCCACGAATACAGCACCTATACCACCTTTGTCAGATGAGATTTTTTTAAGACAGTGCGTCATTCAATATAGAGGGTAAAGGACTTGCGTTGCTGAAAGATGCCGAAACTGGGCCCGGAAACTTTCTCAAAGGATGAAACCACCAAATTGAGAGTTTGTATAACAGCCCAATGGCTAGCACCTGGGTTCAGTCAACGTCTCATGTCGCAGCTGAAGGGATTATGGTTGGGAAATTCACCAAAACGACAATTTCGAGCTTCATTCCAATATATTGATGTCTTGGGTTGTTATTCAGAAAATTCAGAAAAGCAACGACATATACATAGGCTTTGATGAGATTTAATCGTTTTCGGTTGATGTTGGTTCAGCCGCATTCAACCCATCATGGTAGTTCGGATAATTCCATAGTCGGTACAGGCCGAGGCCCCACTTCTAGTCCGTAGCTGGTGGGTGTTCGCTTGACGACCTGATTGCGACAATATTGTTAACCCTCTCTGTAGAGTTTCCACGCTGAAAGGGACTATTTCTTACCGGTCGGGCCATTCATTGACGACTGATGGTTTTACATTGTCAACACGTCTCCTGAGCAACACCTGGAAGCTGCATTCCGAGCCTATCATGCCTTCCACAACCATGCCACCCGAGGTGGATATTAATGTCACAATGACGGAGCGCGTATTTCCTCAAGAGCGAACACGGCATGAACACGCAATTCCATTGTCGCTACTGGATGCGACCACCGCCAACTTCGCTCTTACAAATGCTATATGGCTCTTCGAGCCACTCCATGAGAAGGATGTAGTGAACGTCGCTGTGCACCTCCGCCAAACACTCGGCACTGCGCTTACTTCGTATCCTCAATGGGCGGGCCAGTTGAAATCTATCGCTGTCGTTGACGACGCGTCGGTTCCCGCTGAAGCACAAGAGTTCCCAGCCCACGCCCGTCGCTTCGGCCGCGTGTACGCGCATTTCGGGGCCTCCTCAGACATCGGGGTGGAGTTTATCTCAGCAACATGCTCTGCCACCACGGACTCACTCTATCAAACAGACCGCGTCAAGACTCAGCCACTTTGGGATCGTAAAGACGACAACCTCGGTAAATTTGTGCCTGCTGTCGATATTGCACATGCTCTACAACCTAACGAGCCTGATGCCGTGACGGGATTGCGCAAGCCGATCATGGCCATCCAATGCACGACATTGTCAGATGGTGGATTTGTCCTCGCTGCCAAAACGGCACATCCCTTCGCGGACATCACGGGTCTTATCCGCTTCATCAAGGATTGGGCAAGTGTGAGTAGTGCCGCCATCAAGGGCCTGGCAGCACCAGCCCTGACTCCTGTCTTTGAGCCGGCGCGTTTGGACAACCTTGCTGCAGGAGATATCAACGCCGAGGGGCCGGACCCGACCATAATCAGGCGAACTGAACGTTTACCCTTGCACAGATATGATTGGTGGGCCGTGCCAGGCAAGCCTCCTGCGCCATTCCTCAATGCGACCAATTTGGTTTCACCAGCAGGCAAGCCCATGCCATGGGCTGAATGGGATCTTAAGGTGCCTGTTTCTGACTATACCATTCATCTCAACACAGCACAGGTCGATTTCCTCTTGAAAGAAGCTACGAAAGGCACTGAAAGTGATGGCATAAGAATCAGCAAGCATGATGCCATTTTGGCACACATTTGGTCCTGCATTGTGCGTGCACGTCAACTCGGGAAGGATGACGGCCTGGTCTATTGCGATCTTGTACTTGGCGTTCGATCTGCTTTCAAGCTGGGTGAAGACTTTTTGGGCTCACCGATCATCATGATGAAAGTCGAGTTACCGGGCTCTGAGGTTGGCTATGAACAATCAAATAATGCTATCGCAGCGTTGATTCCTATCGCCCGAAAGATTCGGCATACGATCTCCACTCTCAGCGACCCAGCAAATCTCGCAGATCATCTTCATAGCGCTGCGTATGAGAAGTCTCCTCAGCGTATATGGCAGGCGTTCCTTGGCCGGCGTCATATACTTGTGACAACTTGGGCGCGTGCTGGCATCTACGATGTCGACTTCGGTCTTGGATCGCGCATACGATACGCGGATGGCATCGTGCCGAACTTGGACGGCGACATTCTCATTAAAGAAGCGCCCCCATGTTCTGGGGAGTTCTCATCCGGGTCTAGGCCGTCTTGGACCGACAGCGGGGTGGATATCTCTGTGCATATTTGCACTGAGGATATGGAACGATTGCTCAAGGATCCTTTGTTACTACCGCGCCTCAAGTAGTCAACCCAAGATCTCGTTCGCTCATCAATTATTCACTATGGATATATTATAGGGCCCATCAGGTCGTGATTGTGGACGTGAATGTGTATTGTCTCATGAGTCGAATACAAATTGCCTATAATTGGCTCCAGTAACTCTTTGTAATCACATCCTGGCAGAGCTGTGTACTAGCCCGTCACATCCAAACCCTTCCAAAACCAACATGTTAATTCCATGATTCAGTGAACGACGCTTGATGCAGTCTGAAAGGTGCACGATTCAATCTTCTAGCAGCTGATTCAGATTCAATTGCTTCAAGTTCGTCGGCACGACAATATATTATAACGTACATGCAGTAATTACGTTGGTCGTAAGGGTAATATTCAAAAACGCAGACTTTGGGAAATAGGTTTCTGGGTCTTTCGTTTCCTAGTCTATGTCTAGTATTACACTCAAACGCTTTCGGAAACTAGCGAGAACAAGCCACCATACGATGTTGAACATCGTTCATCTCCTTTTGAACATGACACGACCAGCGGGGTTAGGCAAGTTCTGCGTCTCGAAAATCAAGCTAGAAGGTCTTCCAGCCTGGTCATCAGGAAACTTGAAGTCATAGTTTTTTAGAAGATAAACCATGATTGCCTTGATTTCGGCTGAAGCGAAAAAGCGGCCAGGACACGCGTGCCGCCCGTATCCAAAGGCCATACTCGCGTGATTGGCAGCAGCAAAGGCTACCGAGGACTTGGCCTTTTCACTCAGAGAGTCTGGAGACGTCTTTGAAGCCGACTCGTCGAAACGGAAGCCTTTAAACTTTTCAGGTTCAGGAAAGATCTCGGGATCCATCGAGATGGCGTGGGCGGGTACGCCGATAGTTGTGTGGGCCGGAATCTTTACGCCGTCAGGAAGAGTGTAGTCTACCGTGATGACTCTCTCAAATGTAACTGTTGGTGGTCAAAACACATCGAAACCTTGGTAGGCGTTGTGTGTTGCATATTGCAAACTTACTGAGAAGTAAGGGGTTGAACCGTTGGCTTTCTTTCATAATACTATCCAACTTGGTCAATGCCTGAAATCCCTGGCGGTCGAGCAACCCATTTCCATCGACATTTTGGTCGATTTCTCTCCTGAGTGGCTCTATGTATTCGGGCATATCGCAGAGATCATACAACAGTTGCGTAGGTGCTGCTGCACTTGTATGGATCGCAGCAAAGCTAACTTTCAGGAGAATACCAGCGAGGAAGGCCAAGTCTTTTTCCTCTCCCTTGGCGTCCTCTGCCATCCAGTAGAGCAGATCAGGCGCAGCAGTGCCATTAGCCGCACGCTCTTTGAGAAGAGGAATCGCGGCCTTCTCTGCGGCAGCATAGTGGCTCTTGATATTTTGGATAGCAGGAACAAAATGGGCAACAAGGGGTTTTAGAAATTCAGGATACTTCTTGAGTGCCTGTGCGCCAATAAAACCGTCTGTTGCGAAGTCGATAGACGATTGGATCCATTGTTTGTTGCGGCTAAGGGTAGTACCACCGAACATGCGACTTGATACGCGGGCCACGATTTGTGTTATTCGGTCGACTACGTCCACTTCGGTCCAGTCTGAAATGATCACGTCAGGAAATCTTCCTTGACTTGATTGTAGCAAACAAGAAAAGAGTCATTCTCTTACCATGACAGGGAGGGAAAGAATCTTCGAAAGCGTCTTTGATCTCATCCTGAATGTGGTCCATGACGGTCCCTATATGCGAAAATGAGCAACAATACTTAGGTTTAGACTATATTTGTTAGCTTACATAAGTTTTGATTCAGCTGCTTTCTGACGACGCGAGGGTGAAGAGTTGATCGGCTGCCCATCGTTGTGTATTTGCCTTCAAACATCTGTGGTGCAATCAGTAGTGGGCCGAGTATACCATGGAGCGAACTCGCTGACCTCAATGAACGTGGCCACGAAATCAACCTCATTGACTGGTGCTGATTTCAGATCTTCCAGGTATTTTGTAGGAATCATCAGACGCTCTCCTAGTTTGCTGGGAACATAGTAAAGCCCGCGGTTCGCCTAGTGCACGATTTAGATCAGCATTACCTCTCCCAGCAACCCGAGCGGATTATGGATGAGGTTGATTTGGAAAAACAATCGCATACCTGTCTATAGCCTTCTATTAACATATTCTTGCTATCTTTCACGAACCGGATCCGGTTCTTCTTGATTGCATCTTCGTCGCTTCCGCCAACAAACGGAACGCCTTTCACGTATGTCTGCCTAGAGTAGCTCGATAACCAATAAACCAATGCAATAATAATTCCTGCAAGACCGAGAAAAGCTCTGATTTCGACATCATCATAGGAGTTCCTTGCGACGGCAACTCTATGTGCAAGAAATCCCAGTGGATACGCCTGAGGCTTGAAGGAAGTCATCTCGATAGATTTGACGACTTGAAATGTCAAACACTTCGCTATGACACTACCGAATTTAACACAGCCAAACTGGCTGAAGTCTGGATGATCATAGTGTAGAAGTCGAATCGCGAACAAATTCGGAGTTCACTGGATTCGTCAAGATCCGAGAACCGCCATGCCTCAGCTCTGGATCTCGAATGTTGCCCGATGTGGTCAGCCTACAATCTACATCTTCCTCGCGAAGCAAGCCAAATAGGAGGAATTTCGGGAGTGCACCAATCTCAAACCGGCTCATACATTGTCAGACGGAAATTGTCGAATTCCGAGACGACACCGAAAACATCATGTTCAAGGCTCCGAGTAGAAGTATCGCCAGTATGCCGACGCCGAATGGATATCTCGGACCGGATCTCGGAGCATACTTTCAGCCTCGCTCACAGTTTCTTTTACAACCATTTAACAAAAGCGGAAATGGCTGACGCATTTGCTCCTTTCAAAGTGGACGTTGGTTTGGAGTCAGAGCGCGGGTTTGACACCCGCCAAATTCACGCCGGAGCAAAGCCAGACTCGGCGACGAAAGCGAGAGCTGTTCCCATTTACGCCACAGCGGTGAGACCTTCCGTCACCCAGTGTCGAAGTCTGGCCGGAGTAGTTTATTGACAACCCCGAATAGTCATATGTCTTCACGAGCAGCGAGCATGCCCGCCGGGTGTGTAGCAACGAAGAGGCGGGATATGTGTATTCCAGGATATCGAATGTGTGTACCATACTCCGCAAGTTCATCGCGGTGTTCCAAGGGCTCGCAGGACCAAAATTTTGCTGACATGAAGTGCCCGTTCCCTATGACAACAGCCCACAGTAGAGGTCTTAGAAAAACGTATTGCGGCTCTCGAGGGTGGCACCGCCGCTGTTGCCTGTGCCTCCGGTCAGTCAGCAGTGTTCCAGACCATTATGTGTCTTGCTCACACTGGGGATAATATCGTTGCATCGACAGCCCTGTACGGAGGCAGCTACAGCTTGTTCAAGACATTGTTGCCGCGTATGGGAGTGTCCGTACGATGGGTTTCCACTGACGATGCTGAGGCCTACCGACCGTTGATCGACGACAGAACAAAATTGGTCTTTGTTGAGACTGTTGGAAATCCAGTGGTCAGCATCCCGGACCTTCAGGGCATTGCCGACATCGCACATGAGCATCATGTCCCTTTTGTGGTAAGTGCAGAGCATCTTGTGAAAAAGGCCTCGTGGAAGTATCATGTGATACAAGGAGTTAGCTTTAACGTTAAATGAGACTTACCAACCTCGTTTTCTAGGTTGATAACACCTTCGGAGCAGGGGGATTCTGGTGCCCTGTTGTGTCTTTCGGTGCTGACATCGTCGTCCACTCGGCGACAAAGTGGCTCGGTGGCCACGGGACGACGGTAGGTGGTGTAGTTGTTGACTCGGGACGCTTTGACTGGAAAAAAGCGGGCGCACGCTTCCCGCACCTCACGCACACGAGCGATGGGCCCATGGGCTTCTCCTTTGCCAGCAACTTTGAAAATGTAGCTTTCGCTATGGCACTGCGTATCGAGGTTGTCATGGAAGTTGGTAGTGTGTTGAATCCCTTCGCGGCGCAGCAAATCCTCCTCGGCATGGAGACTCTGAGCCTCCGCTGTGATCGGATTGCTGCCAACGCGTTACAGATTGCACAATTTCTAGCCAATCATGACCGTATCAATTGGATCAGCTATCCGGGTAAGTGTATTCCCAGGCATTAAAATAGTGTTAGACGAATCCAAAGAAACTCTCACAAGAATGGCAGCTGACAATGCGGCATGGGTAGGGCTTCCGACGAGCAAGTACTACGAGAGGGCCAAGAAATATCTACGAAGGGGTTTTGGAGGAGTGTTATCATTTGGCGTTGTAGGTGGCACGATAGGCAGTAAAGCCTTTGTAGATGGGCTTCGTTTGATATCAAACATGACAAAGTACGTTCATCCACACTAGGCTTTACGAGATTAGGAAATAGTGTCAAGTGCACCAGGGCTAACTTTCATGGGCTACAGCGTTGGTGACTGCAAGACCATGGCAACACACCCGTGGAGCTCAACGCACACCATCATGACTGAGCAGGATAGATTGAATGCCGGCATCACCGAGGTAGGTCTAGATCGCTTCCAATCATTTTGTATGATACTCTCCTGAATCATGAACCTAACATTAGTTTCTTCTTTTAGGATCTCATTCGACTTTCTGTGGGAACAGAAGACGTAAACGACATTATTAATGATCTTAGTCGAGGGTTGAAAGCTATTCCAGATAAATTCATAGCACCCTAACGACCATCTCAACACTTAGATGCACAGAAACGTCCCAGAGGGTCAATCATGAGTCTATTAAAATCAATCAAACGGGTCGCGATGTAGATTTCGAAGATTGAGGGTGCATCTGAATTGATGAATTTAACGGGTATTGAAGTTGGTACCTTCCGTTGGCGATTCTATATGCTCATTAACCAGCAGTGCGAAATTAATGAAAGAATGAACTATTTACATTGTTCCTGTCGTTCCATTCCCTTCAATCCATCTTGAGCCATATTTTACAATGTTTGCGAAGGTCTGTTTGTATCAAATAGACAGATCTAGTGAACGCTCCCCGATATTGCAGAGACATTAGGTCAAGCTTAAGAGCATAATTCGAAAATTGGATCTCTGTGTGCGCCCATACGAAACCTGCTTCCATGGATCTCCGTCTTTCAAACACACAACATTCCCTATTTCGAAATTTCGAAATGGAAATGAATCTCAGGTCCCACCAAAATCTAAGGGTAGGTTGTCTATGACCGTATTATGTCGACCGTGGAGATCCTTGTACAAGGGCCTTATCCCAGTTGTACCATGGCGGATAGCGTACTGGTCTTACACGTTGCTTCATATTCTGCAATAACAGCATTAATTATAATTCTCATTCGATCTTACTGCAAAGCATGCATTTTTATCGCCAAGTTATGCGTATTTGACACTGGCTCAGAGATGAGATTTTGGAGCGTTTGCTTCGCCATGGTCACATTAAATGAGTCTTGCCCATGTACCTTTTGAGTGTTTGCATGACTCTTTCATGCCTCTTCAGCGATTAATCCAGTTGGAATTGCATTACAACAATTGCCTAGTATAATGCCTTCTGCCACCAGTCACGCCGAGCGTTTATGTTGTTGACCCTAACTTCTCTAATTCCATTGACATCAAGCTCTGGAGCATTAGCATCCACACTGCACATTTTAAAATGCCCAACACTAGTAGCGACTGGAACGCTCATCTCGACTAAACTAGTAATGTACTCCTGTAGACTAAAGGTAATTGTAGTGTTCGTAAGGCCCATGGAATAGAGGAGTTGTGAAGGCTGAAGTGGGGTAAAAAGACTATCAACGACAGGCCCATACGTGAAAGAAGCATACGTGGAGTTATAGATTACCTATTAAACGTTGGCGTGAATAAGCTCTTGAGAAGGCAGTCCGCAAAGCTTAGTCAGAGATATAGCGTTCACGATGCTCAGGAACTTTTAGTAAACATTCTCTTGCGCAATAACGGAAGTAACTGAATGCCAGCCAGGGCTTTGTATCACTGCCTGCTGGAATTTGGCTGAGCATCTCCCGCCATAAGCAGTGATCTGGTGCATAATAGAGCTCCCACCAGCACTTTCTCTAAAGACTGTGACCTTCGGAGGATTATTTATGTCAAAATCACCAAATTGAATCCGTCCACACTAACTCAGCTCTTGCCGCTTCCAAAAATATGAATACTCCTTTAAATTTGTTTAAACGCCAGTCACTGATCTTAGAATCCCAAATGAGAGACGCCACCCTCAGCTTGGTAGCAGGGTAACTTCAGAGCGATTCGCTACTTTGCCAATGCCTGTGCTAGTGTTCCAATGCTCCAATGCTATGTATATCTGACCAAGAGCAACTCCTGGGAATCTGCCAAGCACTACACAGAACAGAAAAGTCACTGGCAAGTGCGTAGAATGAACATCTTCCATGAATTCAAGCCCTTGAGGAACAATTGCATTTGTCTCAATTTCGACACCATCCTCAAAAGCGCTAACCACCCACGGGTTGTATAGAATTGAATTATGAGGGTCAGGATAGGTACGGTTGTCCTTAGTTAGATCTAATCCTAGAAAAACGTAGTGCTATTGGCGAAGCTAAGACTAAAAATTCCGTTCTAATTGCCTGCAGGGGAGACTTCTTGCTAAGAAACTTTAACATTGGCTACTGTTTTTTTTTACAGTTAAACCCTTGATAGAGACTAATTTATAGCTAGCGGTCCCTAGAAATGTAGTACTAATAGTATACGTAATGTTGAAGTTCAGATCTGGAATCTACCTACCTAATTATATAGGTAGTATAAACTAACTGAAATTGCATTATAACTAACGTACCTCCTTGAAATTGCTATTGATATACCTAATGTTCTCTAACAGTAATTATAAGTTAGAACTGCTAGTATTAACTAGTATCTAGAATATTCTTCCGCTAACCTGTATATTAATTCTATAATAAGCCTAAAAATAAATTGCTCTTAGAGGCGAAACTCTAATATAGGTAGTGCGATTAATAAGCTGCTTATATAGGCTAGGGTTAAGACTAGGTCTACGGGTACTCTTAAGGTTGATTTAGAGCCTATAAACTAGAATTCTAAGCGCTTTAAGCTACTCTTAGACTTCTTATAAAGCGTTAGGTACACTAGCAGGCGTATGGAAATTACTATTGCTGTTTGTTCTAAGGGATTATAGTGCGGTACTGATTGCGTGCAAGGATACCAATATTAGAGCTGTAATAGTAGCGTGAAAACTGGTACGAAGCGCCATTTTCTTCTCTGCTATTGTTTAGCGGCTGCTGCTTTTCGACTAAATATTAAATCTTGCTCAACTAATAAGCTATTGAACAAATTAAGGCGGAGTGGAACTTGAAATCCGTTCAGATGAATGGGATAACGGACACCGCTACTCTGGAAGTGTGGATACGACGGGCAGCACTGATGAGCTGTCCCTTACATTCGTTCATAAGTTTTCATGCCATGTAGATAAATCTTGCTTTCCCGGACGATCCGAATCTCACTACCTAGTAGTACGTGCTGAAAAAGCCTGAAGGCCAATCTCATATTTAGCCAATCAAATGAGACATTACTGGTCTTCTCGTTCCTCTTCGACCTTACTACTGTTTTACAAACTCTATTTACGATAGCAAAGGGGCTGTGTTATGCATAATACGGAAGGATGACGTGATCGAGCTCAGAAAGTTCAAGGGGCGACCCGCAGTCGAGCTGGTTGAGTAAAGCTGATATCGAGTAGGTGCTAATGATTGATGAAAGAAGGTAGCTATTCATGTTCGAAGGAAAATTGCAACATACATCTGTGCTCGGATCACGTAATACTATACCACAATACCCAGCTACTTGTGACTACTGCTTGAATCTTAAGACTTTGTATGAGATATGATGATTAGATTGGGTTGTTACAAAAAGAGCTATGCAGCACTATTGGGAAATTTTACACAAGAGCCTTCTAAGCTGTGTTCTATCAAGGTAAGTACTAGGCTGAAATTCTGCTAATATACATAGAGATTTTTCACTTCCACATCATTCATAAGTATCCTCTTGTTTCGAGATTTGAGAGAGTACTTCATAAACAGCGCGACGACAACCACTCCCACCGCGAAACTGATACTCGCACACCACGCAGTTGTGTAATGTGGTGAATCCGATGCCGGCCACAGGTAAGGAGTGTAAACATTTGATATGTTACCCAGCATATTAATAATGGCAAGCGCTACTGACTTCTTCTCGTTGGTCTGGCCAAGAGTTGCGCTGCTCCACCCCAATAGGATATTGTTGATGCCGAAACTGAAGCCCACAAAGAGGAAGATGCTAAACAGGCGCGCGACAAAATTGCTGGTAGTGAGAGGAATGATAAAGCCGATGATTACAATGCTTTTACATATCACGATATGCCAAGTACGCTCGTTCCAGCGGCCCGACGTCCAGGAGATGATAAGTCCAATGATGGCAGCGAGAAAGAAAGGCGGGCATGTTAAGGCTAGTGTGACATTCCGGCTATATCCAAGGCCCAACATGACGGTGGGAATGAAGTTCTGGAATCCAAGCGAGGAAACATGCAGGTTGTACATCAGAGTCATCGCCCAGGTGCGCCAGTCAGTAGCTGCGTGTCGTAGGCCGGACCAGACGCTGGTGCTTTCTTGTGCGTCAGTCGTGTCAATGAGGATACGGTTGTGGGCCAGTTGCCTCTCCTCTTCAGTCAGCCATTTGGTAGTCAAGGGGTTATCGGGAAGGAGCCAGAAGGCCATGAGAGCGGTAAGTGCGGAAAAAGCACCTTGAATGATGAATAGCCTATCATCCAGTTAATCATGAACAAAGAACATAGCGTCGGGATGTGCATGCGGACGTACCATTGCCAACCAGTCAATCCTAGCCTTTTATCCAGCTGAAAGACACCCGCTGCAATGAGGCCTGCGAAAGACCCAGAGAAATTATTACCAGTGGTTAAAATAGCAAGTCGGAAAGCGATCTCCTTGCGCGTATAGAACAAACTGATGATGTAAAGTGCTCCAGGATAAAACTGTTAGGAAATGTTAATGGTGTTGCCAAATCCGGAAGATGAACACTGGTGAAGACGTACTGGAGCCTCGACAATACCAAGAATAAAGCGTAGAACCATCATACTACTGTAGTCATGTGCCAAAAATGTCAAAAGACTGACAAGCGACCAGGCAAAACCAAAACCCGCCATAACAAGGGAAATCCGAAACCTATTCAATAACATGTTGCAGGGCAGTTGTGCAGCTCTGATAGTTGGCAATTTATCAGTGCTGGACATGCAGCATTTGTTGAAAGGGAGGGCGACTTACATATATCCAACAAATAATATAGACACACAAGTGTTGTACTGCGTTCCCTGTAAACCAAGATCTGCCTCGAGGTTGTTAAGTCTCGCATTGACAATGGCATTGCGATCAAGGTAATTGAAAGTGTACATGAACCATAGTATAGGCTGAGCCAAAGGTTAACTTATTAGATCATCCTTCTGCCCCAAACTGGCTTTGTGACATACCATGATGTAATAATCTAGTTTCTTCACAAGTTGTATCTCCCGAGGGTCTGTCTTCGTGTGTGCACCGAACTTATCTACTTTGTCCATGACGGGTAGCTTCAAGTTCTCCACGTCGCCGTGCTGGATCGTGTCGACTGGCATGATGTGGTTCTGGATAGCCTTATGGTCTTTCGTCTTGGTGTCGCTGACCGCGTCCAGTGTATGTGACATAGGTGCAGACATCATGGGTCGAGATTGAGAAGATTGTTTTGTCGGATCTGAACTCGTCTGGCAGGGGCCTAAGATAAATAGAAGATGACCCTAAAGTATTTAGGGACGATGTCTCTCCTCAGTCTGGTCTAAAATGATGGAAGTGAATTACTGCGTACTATGCACTAGGTTGAAACAACTGGACTTCAATGCAGGTGCATAAGTCAGTATCTCGACAAGATACTTCCGGTGCAGATATGTACTTGAAAGCTTAGGTTTCATAAAATTTTACCGGCAACACTTGTAAGGATAGTATGGGCTCTTGTGATAGAGGAGATGAGGTAAATGCGATGATGGATAGTGCCGATGTTAGGGACGACTACTTGCAATCAAAGACCAAAAGAAGTTTCGCTTTCATATGCACGTGAAAACAACCCCATCAAGTCTCTCCCGTATTATCTATAGCTGTACAGGGCATCTATAGAATAGAGATAAGGATGCGGATGCGGATACGAAGCGAGGGATTATCTAGCCTCCTGAGGCATCGTCACGTGGGAAAACTGGGGAAGATACTGTGTAGGAGCCTGGAAGAATCCCAATGAACGTTTTTGGTCGGGGGATAACTACAACCCAGTTCCAAATGCCGTAATACTCATTACCTGTTGGGCAAGACTCAATTAGGTAGCTAAGTCATAAAGGGCAACTAATCAGTAGGCTGCTATGATGCCGTTATCATCGGCCGAGATAAAGTGCGGGGTTCGAGCCGTTTGGGAAAAGAGATAAGTGTTTGGACGGCTATGCGTCTGCGAAGCTCAAGGCAATTCAACAATCGAGAAAGAAATCGAAACGTATAGCAATCGAAGCATCACACATTCTCAACGGTTTGACCTTGTCCGGCACGAACGTCTTTATGTTACTGATGGAACATTGCTTGACACTTTGCGAATTATCTGTTCCCCTCAATTGTAAATGAAGAAAAAGATAAATAAAGATACAGAGCTTCTACTAGACTTTGCCCAGGAGCCAATATGCTGTTGCTATCCGGTGTGGATACTACCCACCCATCGAGAGCCACCCCATTTCTTACTCAATACCACTCTTGGCCCCTTGCCTTGCGCACCGCTTCCGCTGGCCGATACGCCCCACTCTTCGCCGTCCCCAACCCCTCCCTCACCAAGCCAATTAGAAATTGCACGCCAACAGCCACGCCATCTACAACCATGACCTGCCTCTGCTTAGTGCCGACGGCATCCTCGCAGGCTTCCTTCGCGCCTGTCATGCCCGCACACCCAAGCAGCAGACAATCCGCCTTCCTGCCGTCTACAAGCTCCTTCGCCGCGCGCGTCACGCCCGCAAATACCTCTTCTTTTGGCTTGTTTTCGAGGTCGAGCACCGAGATCTTGCACGCAGCGCAGCCAGCAGAATAGTTGGCGAGCCCGGCGTCGTAGATGGTCTGCGCGTGCAAGATCTCGGAGCGCTCGCTGGTGGTTATGACACCAAGCTTGTTGCCGCACATGCGGGCCGCGTATAGAGCTGATTCCATGATGCCGAGGACAGGTGCCTCGACTTCTTCGCGCAAGGCCGTGATAAGTGGGTGGTTGCTGAAGCAGGCGACGAGGAAGGCGTCGAAGCGATGTTTAATAGGTACAATTTTGCGCAGGCACTCGGCAGAGGAGAGAATGCCGTCAACGCGGCCTTCGATTGCGCTAGGAGCTGGTGGGGGTGCGGTGAAGCCGTAGACTGTTACGCCTGGGGGGATCTTGCTTGAGATGTTTTGTAGGCAGGCGTTGGTGATGTGAGGAGAGGAATTTGGGTTAATCAAGAGGATGGATATTGGGCTTTGTTGAGTACCCGATACTGACAGTAAATCGGCGATAGTCGCATCCATTTTGGCAAGGGTCTTTGATCTACGATGTGGTGTGGTTGCCGTTTGTTACGTTTCGTTGTTCATTGACAAAAAATTAAAGACATAACGAGCAAAGAGTCAGTCCCTGGCTAGTCATCAAGCTACGTGTCGTGACTTCTTCCCCACGCCAGATCATCTAAACCAAATCTGATGGCCAAGCCCAACTGCATTTGGTACCATCCGTGACTCCACAATCGATGATACTTATACACTAGCTATTCACTTGCTCAAACGATAAAAAAATGCAAGATGGGTGTCGAAACGTTTAATCAACTGGATTACAAGAAACACCAATATCAAAAACATACAGGCACCAAAAATTTCATCATCATCAGTGTGGCAACCACTTCATGTAAAGTACCATTCACAGCCAAAGATCTCGTTCTCCTGGTATCATACCTCTTCCTTGTTGGCCCATCCTGCCCGTGACAAGTTTTCCCTTGTTACGACGCAAGAACTGCCCAAAGCCCTTTGTTCCCACAATACCGGCACCGTCATGTTGCCACACAACATTGCCTCTGAGAATCGTGTATCTGGGCCAGTTCTGAACAACGAGACCTTCAAACGGTGTGTAATCAACGCCGTGATGGAGTTTTCCTTGGCTGATAGTCACATTGCCTCTCGGATCCCCAGGCGGGTACCAGATGACCAAATCCGCATCGAATCCCGCCATCAAAGTTCCCTTTCGGTCATCCATCCCATATAGCTTGGCTGCATTGCTTGCTGTGAGTTTCACAAACTGTGGCAAAGTGATACGCGCCTTTTCGGGTGGTAGACACGCTTCCGACTGGTTGAACAGTAACGCCATCCTCGTCTCTAGGCCCGGTAACCCATTGGGTACCTTGGAAAAGCGAACAACACCGTCAATAATGCCAGCTTTTTTTCCTAGAGGGTGGTCGTACTTTGTCGCGGCATGGTCCGAGGACCAGACAGTGAACGCTCCGTTGGCGAGGCCGCGCCACAACCCCTCAAGATCTGACGGATGGTGGCGCAAAGGCGGTGCACAGATGAACTTAGTGCCATGAGAATGGTCACTGTTGCTGCATTGCTTAATCTCTTCGGAAAGAAGAAACAGGTAGTGGGGACATGTCTCGGCATGAACTGGCAGCAGGCGCGCTTGGGCAGCCATGACATGCTCAAGGGCCGATTCAGAAGACATGTGTACAAGAAGAATAGGGGCATCGATGAGTTCAGCCAGCGAGATGGCCCGGTACGACGCCTCGTCTTCTGCAATGCGCGGTCTTGCGACTGCATGGAAGAAAGGGTCTGTGTTGCCTTTTGCTTCAAGACGCTTGATGACAAGGGCAATCATGTCTGAATTTTCCGCATGTATCATGGTGGTCATGCCCAAACTACGGCAAGACAGCATGACATCGAGTAATTCGCCGTCATTGAGTTTGTATGGCTCGTATGTCATGTACAGTTTGACAGAAGTAATACCTTCCTCATTGACTAACTTTGACATCTGGTCTTGAAGTATTTCCTGGGTGGGATTTGTGACGACAAGGTGAAATCCGTAGTCACAATACACTTGGCCGTTTGCCTTGGCGTGATATTGCTGCACGACGTCCAGCACCGAGGTTTCATGACGTTTTTGGCCGGCGAAAGCGAGAACAGTAGTTGTTCCGCCTGCAATGGCACTCCGTGAAGCACTCTCCCAGGTGTCGCCAGTTGGCATATTGTCTTGTTGAATGTGCGTATGTGAATCTATTCCACCTGGGGTGATGTAGGCACCTTCAGCATCTATCACTTTGGCATCCATTTGTCCTGTTGCCAGATTGTGTCCAATTGCAGCAATTTTTCCATCTTTGATACCAATGTCTAGACCAGCGGGGAGAATTTCGTTTGCAGTCACCTTGAATCATTATCGCGCATCAGCGGTCCGGGCCAGTAGGCAACATGAAAATGGGATGGTATGGTAGGTACATACGAGAATGCCATTCGTGATGACGCAATCATATTGCTGTTGAGACATGGTTGAAGTGAGACCTCTATGCTCGATATGAGCGAACAGCAAGCTCCATCACGTTGCGTTGGAGGTAGGCTTTGGATATCATCCCACTAGCCATGTTCCGATGCCGCTTCTGGCGGTTGCCTATCACATAACCCTTTGCGGCTGTTATCTCGGCCGTCCGCTACTATCCTGGTCGGGCTCGGCGTCGGCATCGGCTTATCAATGCATACCTAGCGACAAATCGTCTAGTCATACATCTACCTATCTCCATCAGTTACGCGGATTGTTTTATCTTAAGATTAATCGTGCTTCTCCACTTATGCTCTGACCGTGCTGCACCCCATATCCCTCAGGCGGTTGACAGGATTTCCCATTGTCCACCTACCCAATCCTTCCATCTGGCTGGCTAACGGAAGTTTTACTCGGCAGACGCATTTATCATGAGTGGGAAACCAGATTTGCTTATAATTGACTCAACAGTCCAGGAAGTCGACATCGCTCGCCGGCAAGTATTGTCCGATAGGGTCAATTTGATATATTATGATTGCCCTACGATTGATGAATTCAAAAAGCGTATGGAACCAGGAGGCCCTTATGCCAATATCGTCGCTATCATGCGCAATGGCTGGCACAAGGCTGGTCCTCTAGTAAGCCAACGTCCGTTTGCTGCTGACGTCGTGCCTTACTTCCCTAAATCGCTGAAGCTCATCGCATGCAGTGGTCATGGGTACGACGCCGCGGATATAGATGGATTAACCGCTCGGGGCATTATGTACTGCAATACGCCAAGCGCATGTACTGAAGCTGTTGCTATCACTGCCCTATCTCTCATCATCGACTCGTTCCGCTTTCTGTCTTTCGCGCAATGGTGCGCGAGGTACGATTGGATGAAGAGTCGAGAGCTGGGTCTGATAGCCGTCGATCCCACCGACAAGACTCTGGGTATCGTGGGTCTTGGAGATATTGGTCTGGCCGTGGCCCAGAAATGTGAAGCTGCGTTTGGTATGAAGATTCATTATCAAGGCCCAAGACCTAAGCCCGCAGCCGAGAAGTTGTTGAGTCACAGGGCTGTATACCATTCAACGGTTGAGGACATGATTCCCGAGATCGATTGTATCGTCCTTGCCGCACCTTACACCAAAGAAACTCATCATTTGCTGTCGGACAAGCAGTTTTCGCTCGCAAAGAAGGAAGGTCTACGGGTCGTGAACATTGCGAGAGGTGCAATGATTGACGAAGATGCTTTAATAGAAGCTCTAGAGTCTGGGCGCGTCCCCGGCGCAGGACTTGATGTTCACGCAAACGAGCCTGAGGTCGATCCCAGACTCAAGGATAATTGGAAAGTTGCTCTGCTCCCCCATATCGGCGTCTGCTCGAAAAGTAGCTGGAGAGAGTTTGAAAGAATAAATTTGGACAATATCGAGGCGTTTTTTGCAACTGGACAGCCATTGAGACCACCTGTCAATCACATTAGCTACTAGACTACATACATATATCACACAACCCCTTCGTCTTTGACGGCATGAAAAATCCATAATAACATGACAGACGTCTGATAAGTTTCTACAGGCATCCTACGGCTGACTGCCGATGCAGGTGTAAATATTCCCGTGACCCAAGTTGATTCAGACCATATCCTGGCGCCGAATGCTCCTTTATTTGTGCATGAGTGGGGCGCAGGGATCGCCGATGCCGGACTGGGTATTAGATTGGCTATAAACACAGCTATGTTTAGGAAATAATAAAATACCATCGCTGGTTTTATCCTACCAGCTTATCAAAATTCTCTGTAGATTGTAATACGCTACTTTTGTTAGAGCAGAATCCATCGACAACAAATATGCGTAAGCCAAGCTCATCTGAATACAAGTTTAGGTGCAGGGAGCTAATTTATGTCTTTGCTCCTAATGTCAGCCTTCTTTGTTGTCATTGGAGCTGGAGTCGTTGGCCTCACGACAGCCCTGGAGCTTCGGCATCGGCATCCCTTAGCTAAGATTATAATAGCAGCAAAATATCTGCCCGGCGATAGCGCACCAGACTACGCATCTGCATGGGGAGGCGCAAACTGGTTCCCTGCTGCTACAGACAACGGCCCCCAACAAGATTATGAAGCAATCACGTAGTTACTGTAAGTTCAAGAACCTTTGCTCGGAAAGACCGGAATGCGGCATCAAGCCCATGCAGATCAAATGGCACTATGAGGTCCCCATTGAGGAAGCCGGAATATTGACCCCAGCGACCGGGAAGCTGTGGTTCGAGGACCTGGTAGGTGGGTTAAGAAAGATGGAGAAGAATGAGCTACCAAAAGGAACGGCATTTGGGTTCGAGATGGCGAGTTTTGTGATTGATGTGCAGAGGTATCTACCGTGGTAAGTTATTATTGTAGCCGTTTTCACTCATTCCCGGATGCCGGTCTCAAAAACATTCAAATGACATTTATTCAGGTTGCAAACTGAAGCTATCCGCCTTGACATCGAAATACACCGACGCATCTTCGGTTCCATCGACAACGCATTCAACCGTTACACTCAAGCTACCGCCTTTTTCAACTGCACTGGTCTAGGGGCAATGACTTTGGGAGGCGTAGAAGACAATACTATGTATCCTGCTCGGGTAAGCCCCACTCCATGTCTTCCCCTACATTACACAGTCTCACTGCAATGCAAATCCAGGGCCAAATCCTGCTGGTAGAAGGTCCCGAGAAGCCGATAAAAAACATGTATTTCCGCGCTCCTCATCGTGCTGGTGAAGCTACGCACATTTTCCCGAGGGGTGAGAATGGTGGAGTCATCTTGGGTGGATGTCGCCAGAAGAACAACTGGAGTGGCGAGACGGATCTTGCGTTTGCTGAGGTCATCAAGAGGCGATGCTGCTCACTCGCGCCGGAACTGGGGAAGCCAGAGGACTTGAAAATTATCAAGCATGGAGTTGGACTTCGTCGTACGTCAGAAGTGTTTAGGTATATATTCGATGACACTAACTGTGGAAAGCCGCAAGAGAGAACGGGCCACGAGTGGAATTGGAAATGCGGGATGGTAACGTGGTCATTCACAATTATGGAGCGGGAGGAGTGGGATTCCAGGCATCGTGGTGTGTTCAACTCATAAATCTACCCTTTTCCAAAGTACTCACACTTTTTCTTATAGGGGTTTGGCGCGATATGCCGTCGATCTACTTCCCCAAAGAGCACGAATGTAGGGGAAGGGGCCCTTTCTGTAGCGATGACACATTCGATGGTAATACAAGGAAAACAGATACTGCAGTTCTATGCTTAAGGTTATCAGCATGATTCACTGGCATAAGGGCAGAATGTTGAGGTATTAGGTTCTCATGGGATTGATGTAGGAAAAGAAAAGCCATCCAGCGACGAACAATGGCTACTCTGTTCACTGATAGTTGACTCGGTGCCGCTTATCAGTACACGCCCGTTTATGACTTGTATCTGTAGCCGCCGGCCTAAGGCGTATTTGCTCGGCACGCCCCAAATCCAAAGAGGGGACGTTTGATAAGACCAAATGACAAGGTGCCCCGCCCTCAACCCCCTGCCGGCATCGCAAGTCGGCCGAGCGACCGGCATTGGCCGACGAATTTAAGTATGTATCATCAATACATGTCATGCAGCAAAGACCGCAACATCAACCTTCGGAAGAATAAAAATCTACCACAAAATCATACTGAGATATGGATTCAAACAACGTATTGGACAAACCAAGGCTGTTGACTGTTGCCGCAGCACAGATGGGCCCAGTCAAGAGCCTCTCAACACCCAGATTAGAAACTCTACGCCGCATGCTCAAACTGCTCGAGAAAGCCGCTGAGAAAAACGTCAAGCTTTTGGTATACCCAGAGCTAGCTTTCACAACGTTCTTCGCTTCCTATATTATCAGAGATCCAGAAGAACTTGCCAAATTTTTCGAGCAAGCGTCCCCCTCAGACCCCTACGCCTTCGTCAACTCTCCAAACATCAAACCCCTCATCGACCGCACAAATGAGCTAGAAATCGACCTCTACTTCGGATTCGGCGAGCGCTGGGTTGATGCCACCAAAACGGCAGATTTCAATACGGCGGTGTACTACTCGGCGTCGCAGCGCAAGTGTTTAGCAAAGTACCGAAAAGTGCACCTTCCAGGACGGAAAGAGCCACTTACGACCCCAGGATTCACTCAGCAGCTCGAGAAGCGGTATTTCACAGTCGGAGATCTGGGTTTTCAAGCTTTCCGCGCACCAGGTCTGGTTGAAGGTGCATTAAAAGCCAAAGACGCTGATGCAACCACTATATCAAAGGAAAACCAAGGGAAGGGCGATCCCATTATCGGAATGCTTTTGTGTAATGATCGTCGATGGGCCGAAGCATGGAGATGTTACGGATTACAGGGTGTTGAGCTGCTACTAGTAAGTGCTGCCTCCATTTCTTCTTGTGTTCTATCTTTGCCGTAAGTGACTGCTTAAAATATTATGCTCTACAGGAGGGCTACAACACAACAGCATTCGCCCCACAATACGAAGGCACTCCTGAATGGCAAGAACAAGAAGCGCTCCACCACCACCGTCTCTCCTGCCAGGCCGGAAGCTATCAAAATGCCTGCTTCAGCATTCACTCTGCCAAAGCCGGTATAGAAGATCACGGCTCACTCATCGGCGGGTCAAGTATTGTCGACCCCAACGGCCATATTATTGCCGAGGCAAAAACAAAGGAAGATGAGCTTGTGCACGCGACGATTGATCTAGCAAAATGCAGGAAGGGGAAAGGCCGGGTTTTTGCGTTTGATGACCACCGGAGAACGGAGCATTATACAAGGTTGTTGGAGCAGACAGGGGTAGTAGAGCCAGAGCTTTTGTAGTTAAGCCTTTATATCAACTTGGTATCATCTAACTACGCGTGTTGGATGTCGCACCTGTATATCTAATAAAGTGGCTGGTGAACTTTTCACTCGAAACTACTATACTTAGCACCATCAAATGCTGCCGAAGAAAGTGCAGAATTCTGCACATATTGGCGCTTATGTCAGAATTTAGTAGCTGGTCTATATATCGCTTGCATAGCAATGACGTTACCCTTAGGTTCGCTGCTGCAGGTTTGCTCTAGAGATTACTAATTCGTCATTAGTAACTTAACACCAAAGCTACGGCAGCTAGAGCAAGATGAGACTATCCGCTCCCCCTCTTTAATCATGACCCATCAACGCACGATCCGAATCCCCTGATGCACTCCGCCTGCATGCTATCCGGATCAACTATTTGGCACCGCGGCGCTTCATGTACGCACATTAATCAGCATCAGCATCTCCAGATCTGTATTCACTCAACAATCGCGCGATTCGGTGCTGGTTATGCTGTCATACTGGAGGGGAATAGGAGCCAGGCGGTATTGCTATAGCCAATCGGATCACGAACCTACTCAAAGCTAAATGTAGGCGAGCTAGGCGACATACTAACCGACAAGACCGAGAAAATCCGGAATCTAAGTCCTGCTGATAGTCGATTGATTACAAACCTTGTGCTTATGTCTACAGAAACTATTTTTTAGACCCTGATCACTACAAAAGCTTGATCTTTCCCGAAACTAACTTCCTACCCCACTAGTCCTTTCTTTCACTTCATTCTGTCCTCCGTGTAGCATAAAACTGAGAACGAACAATCACAATCTATAGATAGTCATGGCTTCTTTCAATGATCATGGCTTCCCCATAGTTAACCTGTCGAACGACGGTTGGTCTACTGAAGATGAGGCTACTGCTACTTGCTTCTGTGGATCTGTGCAGTTAGTTTTAGTAAGTGAATTTGTCTTAGATGCATTGCAAGCTGTAACGATTGTAATTTCTCTTTATCTTATCTCTAGTTATAGCTCTAAGTCTCCTAAACTGATATTTTTGATAGCCTCTCCAGAAACCCGGGCTCCTAAACCGCCATGTCTGTCATTGCATCGACTGTCGCAAGATAGGATCCGCTTTCTATCAATCCAACATCACCGTGGCAGATTCGCATCTCAAACATACCCGTGGTGAGGATAACCTCACCGCCTTCAGCGAGGCGGAAACAATACGCGCCAACGCACGAATGACCAACTACTTTTGCAAGACATGTGGAACTCTTATGTATCGCCGTGGCGCTCGGTTCCCTGGGATGACTATATTACGTACTGGCACTGTCGACGATCTCTCTCTGGCGGAAACGAAGTTGCGGCCGCAGGTGGAGCAGTTCATCGAGAGGAGAGTTGCTTGGTCTGTGCCGATTGAAGGGGCTGCTCAAGCGATAGGGATGCACAAACCTTCAGATATAGAGGAAATCCCATAGAACGCGTCAACTGTAACCAGAGTATATTCTGTTATATTCCGTTCTAAATGTAAAGAGCGTCCTCAAACTATAGGCGCTTTAACATAGATTGTATGGGAATAAACATCCCAAGCTCAATAAGAGAATCAGGGCAAAGATCCGTCGTGTTTGTTTATTCCATTTACGTAATTACGGCCTGTCTTACTACTAGACTTTCTGTGCCAAGCTCTGTGCTAAGAACACCAATACTCCTACCCCGCATTATACAGTGCTTGGTATTCGAAAACCTGAGTTTTCCCGCAAATTTCTCGCTTCACACGCCTATTTGAGGTGAATTTCCGTCTTTAGATCTTAAATGATTTTTAATATTGATCCGTCCTTTTCCATCTTCGTGTACCGCTTTGAAAAAGGAAGCTCTCATCGGCATCGACTGGCTGCTTGCGATATCACATGAATGAAAAAATGTAATTCAGCGTGCTGTGAATGCTACAAATAGCTAGAATACATTGCGTACGAGACAAACTCTCAAACTTGTCTTACTCTTGGAAGAACTAACGAGCAAAAAAGTGGGAGGCTTTTCACCAATAGAATCATGCCTCAAGCTCGATTTGCACTCCTTGCTTCGTTGTTATCATCTGTTGTCTTTTCCGACCCTTTCAATACCTTCGACGGTCCAGGTTTCCCTGCGTGTCGCGAAGTCGCAAAAGTCTACGATCCAAACACCGTACAGGAGACGATTGATATTGTCCGCACAGCTGCTACCAATGGCACACCTATCAGAGCGTCAGGTAAAGGCCACATGTGGTATGATACCATGTGTTCTGATAATCCTTCGACTGTGATCGTCCGGACCGAACAACTCAACCGCATCAGCGAATTCGACCTTCCGGTAGGGGCGCAAGATGGTTCCGTGATGATAGAGGCAGGCGTTACATTTTTTCAGCTTGCTGAGTATCTCCATCTGAACAACGCAAGCATGGGCTATACACTAGTGAACTGGAACATAACATTGGCAGGGAGTATTGCAATGGGCGCCCACCGGAGCAGTCTTCGCGAAGACAGTATGGTAGCTGCAGGTGCGCTGGAGCTTCACATAATCAACGGAAATGGTGAACTTCGTGTGATCAAGAGGTCCGACAGCGATGAATGGCTTGCTGCATCTACCTCACTGGGTTTACTTGGAGTCATTGCCAAAGTAAAGTTCAAAATTTATCCCGATTTTAAGGTTTATGCTAAGCAAGACATGTGAGTGCTCTATTGACCGTCTGGATACTTGTTTACACTGTGTTGACTAATTACCTAGTCTCGCTGAGGATGAAGTGATTAATGGGGACATTTATGGACTGATTGCGCCGTACGCAACTGCAAACCTTTGGTGGTGGCCCTATTTGCGCAAGTTTCACCATCGTTATTACGATCCAATTCCAGCAGGGTTGTCCGATCAAGAAGGATTTCAATCAACCTTCAGTGTCACAAAGGCTGAAGCTGATTTTGCAGCAGGTCTGCTAAACTCTGGTGAGTGTTTGGTAATATTACCATGCACATTTACTTATGTTCAAAAGGCAAGATCCTACCTACGTCTAACATGGCTGCTGAGACATTGTTCTTTGCATTATGGTCACCACCTAACTTCCGTGATAAGAGAACGGACAAAGCAATCTCAACCTGGCCAGTATACGGCTGGAACTATGACGTGTTGATCGGCGGACTGTATCCTGGTTACGGAACACAATGGGACCTTGGAATTCGAGGTCTGACTCTTGAGCTAGCGTTCCCGGTCACGATTGCAAATGATGTGCTAAAGCATGTGCGAGAGGCATTCGACAACGAACTCAAGAAAGGAATTGTGATGACATCTACTTATCGTTCTGGTATAAATATCAAGTTCGGCAAGCCTTACAATGACTTACTTGGACAAGTCTCCACTAGTGCTGAGGATGGTGCGGACTGGACAAAAGGCGCTTTGATGTTCGACTTTCCAACTTTCAAACCTAGCTGGGGAGATGGCAAGAGGTTCAACGAAGATTTCTATAACAGACTGGCTAAAGGCCTGATCGAACGATTTCCATGTCGACCACACTGGACTAAGAATACAAGAGAAGTCTTCAATCTAACGATGGTAAACAATAGGATTGACTCAGGACAACTTAGAAGATTCAAGATTGTGAGAGAGGAATTCGACCCAAAGGGAATATTCCGAAGCGTAGTTGGAGAAACTCTTGGACTATATTAATCAATTAGCTTTGCAATAGTCTCTAAGTAGTATTGTGTATATTTAGGAAATTAAACTCTCTCTTCCTCTATGCACATCTGACTCCCTACGTGTGATAGTAGATATCCAATCCGCTGCCTTCCTACCAATTACTTCCCCTTACGATCTTGCACTATATTTCAAGACGTTAGGGGCTTGGAAGCGCCTCGAGAATCCCCTCAAATCCCGCAATCTTCGCATGCAGCTACAGCAGCTCCCGCGGCTAATACACACGCTACAATTTCAAGGGATTCTATCTCCATCGTGCCAATGTAAGTAGCGCAGGTCGCAAGAGAGGTAGCAAACGCCGCCGCGCAGCCTAGAAGCATATTAATAAGACGTAACTATCTGCTAAATTGGAGTACTCTCCGGCTGCGTACTTACCGAGCCAATTACACCCATTGAGTTCAAGGAAGTAAACAATACAACAGTCATAAATAAATTTATCTTTAAACTAAGAACATAACGCACTATCTTGACCAGGTGCAATCTCAGGTCATATCTATTATCAGATTAGGATCAATCACAGGCGAAGACGTTGATATCACCCTGTTTAAGTAGGAGTTGGTGTATTTTTCAGAGAGGTGTGTACCTATAGGGTTTGCTGGAGACCACACTTAGTACAAGGTTATTCAGACCGACGCTGTTGCACTTGTGGGTAAGATTATGGCGGACTGGGATAAGATGATAGCCAACGACTTGGGTAGCGAGCAGGGTTAAGGACGTAACCAGTCAAAAAATTGCATTTTGCTGGCTCTATCTGGTTTTCGAGCGAGTATGAATGGAGACAAACGTTGATCACTTGATGGAAATAAGAGAACATTGCGAGCGGTGATGAAGGATTTGAAGGCCTGACAAGACTGGGAGAAGGGAGCTTGTTGTAAGTAGGCGATGGTGTGCGAGAACTAGCTAGATTTTATATAACCGCTTACGAGTCTTGCTACCTACGGGTTGAAAACTGTATCTGCCGGAAGAGTTGGGAAAGACATAGCTTGGTTGACCGAGGCCTGATCAAACTTTCCAGGGCAAAAGCTGCGTGCTCATCAGCACTAGATTGTCTTGAACAACTACAAGGGTCTTACCTAGGCGGTCAGCCGGGAAATCCATTTACTAAGCAACATGCTTAAGTGAGATGAATTCAATAAACTCTAAATCTCGCATAAAGCTTCCTACAGACCCAATGGCAACTTGTAAAGGCTTGCTGCTAGTGAGAATTTTCAAAAAGTTATACACCGCACGGACAAAACAATCTCATTTGGTGAGATCGTTTCATTAATCGGGTTACGGTCAGCTCTTCGTGAGTCTCCCAGAGAGCCTTTCCCTCCAGTCAATCTATTGCCTCGTTGAAGGGCTCCGATGCTATAAAAAGAAGGTAAGTTTCAGCAACTGTAGGCATGTGATAGGCTTTGCATTGCCTCTTTGCAACTAATTCCGCATCAATCCCCGTTGTCTGTACTAGTCCTGGTGCTAGAACCTCATCACCTTCCATAGGATGAGTCATTGTTGCAACTTCTAGCTTACTATTACGACCTTTAGAGTGCAACAAAAAAACTATCCGGGCTAATCAATGATCCTAGGCTTCTGTCCAATCGCTAATCAAGACCCGTGATTTATCGCTACGCTGGTCTCGGCGTTATACGCTCAATTACCGTAAGTTATACATTGAAACAATTCTTGATTATACATTTCTCTCCAATTGGCACTTTGACACTCTTCCTAGAGCATCAATGGGATGAGGCTATGCGTTGGGAATCTTCGTGTTCAAGGTATTCTAGAGGAGCTAAGCCTCTACTACCAAGAATCACAATCTATTCTACTTCATCGACCTGTGTATCAGAACCTTTAATATCGCTTTCTCACAGCTTGCTAGAAACCTCGATAGGACCCGCCATACCAAAGACCAGAACATGGTATTCTCTCCGGTTGATAAGGCCTTCGAGGCGGCGAAGAATAAATTCTCGTCTTCTTCAAGTCAGAATCCCTATAATCTACCCTGGTCCTTCTTCACCAAAGAAGTATAAAACGCGATAGACGAGATTTAGAGAGTTTATCTTAAGTCTAGCACGCTGTAAAGTATTCACTAGATTGGATGATACCTATACTGTCTTCAGCTCTACGCTGAAGTTAGTAATACTTTTGTGCAAGCCAAGCCGGACATTCTTTCGTTAAGCTAGGCAAGTAGAATGAATGCCTACATCCGATCTTGAACTTGAAAAGATTGTTCCTGTCGAATAAACAAAAGGTTATATTGTGTTGTTGTTCTAATTTTAGGGAAGTGCGAGCCGTTTAGCATGTGTTCCGGAAAAACAGTCCGATGGTGTGGCCACATCTTAGGGTTGATATGGTATTGGGTAGATTGCAGCGGGCACTAGGAACGAGCGTTATCTCAAGCGATTGAACTATGTACGTGCTGTGACATGTTTTGCAGAATAGTGATCATGGGGAAGTTGTGAATAGTCAGTCGCTCGTATCCTCGCCTTCACACCCTTGTGACATCTACCTAAGCCAACGACATGTTTGCATCGTTGCTACTTACTTTTGGCTGAAGTTGGCGTGCGTTCAGACTGCAGGCAAGTCTGACAGGAAGATTGCTGGCACTGTTTTATTGGCGTGGTGTTCGCGAGGTAGCAACCGGAACCATGGGATGGCTAGCCCTCTCCACCCAGATCCTTAGTCGGAAAAAGAAGCAGTAAACCTTAAATTTCGTGTGTGAACAATGGCTTTTAGCGGTAAAATCTTATGGCTGTAAAGTCGCTAGCTGTGCATCTGGTGAGAATGGTTCCACAACGTGTCGTCACTTAGGTGTGGAGCGGAATATGGTACTGCGTGGGCTGAAGTAACTCCATGCTATTACAGCCAAGCAGCTAGCGAACAGCCTTTTATTATTGGTGGCGGACTATGCATCAATGAAACAGTATGTTCTGGTGACACAGGAGCTGATGCAGCTCCAACTTTCTGCCCTCTGCCCTAGACATTCGAGGATAAGGGTGTAGTAGGTGTGCATCATCTACCCTTTCACTTGTGGTAGCGATAGATAATAAGAGCTACTTTAGTTAGCTTGGTACTAATTGCATTTGTAAAAGGCCCCGGCATTCGACATGCGCGACGTCTACAGTTGTCACGTCGTTTTCCTAGGTCCTCACCCTCAGCTATGGACAGCCGTGAGGGTGTCAGTACTGGGGAAGAGCCAAGCAATAACAAGAGATAACCATCAGTTTACGGAGCCAAAAGTCATTCCGGAATCTCTGCCAAAAGCTTATATCTAGTTCAAAAGCGAGGGGTTAGTCACATTTCTAAGCAGAAAACTTCTACGGAGTGTAATTATTCCACTAAAAGCTCCAGCCTCTATAAAATCCATACGAACGGGCATCCGAAGTCGTGCACTGGTTGGGGAAGCATGTTATGTTTGCTGTGTTGCTAAGTTGACTGCCGTTTGAGAAAGAGTTCGGGGTAGTACGCATCACGTAAAGGTAGCCCACGTATTCTTCGCATCGTTGCGAATCCTCGCAAACTTTCCGCATCACCGTAAGATTCGCATTGCTGTCGCATTGGGATTGCGAACTAGCTAGAGCTGAAGGTTCACAATACGTGGAAATACCATTCACGAGTCCAAAGGACTGAGCTGATTGTTCAATTTGGGTAGCCAGCTGAAAATTTGTACCAGACCCAACTGAACGCGCCAAGGAATTAGGAATCACTCAGCCTGCTGTAGACTAGTAGTGTGCATTAGCTGAACCCCGGCCAGACTGGGGCTGTCATTCTATTTACGGAAATGCTACCAGGAACTTCCACCACTCCATGAAAAGTATGGGAGATGGCTTTCTGACCCAAAGTTTTGCAAATTAAATTGAAACCAAAACAGACTAAGATGAATGCTTTGACTCTCGCATTGGCTAATCCAATGCGAAATTGTGGCTTCATGAAGTCTCTGAGGCCCTTTGTTCCCCGTTAAAAATCTATAAAGTACTGCATTCACATTGCAGTTCTCAATATTGAACTTTACTTGAGATCTTCGCATAACATAACACTTGAAGATAATATCATTAAAATGCGTTTTATCATTTCCCTCCTCGCTCTTTCCGTTGCTGCGAAAGCAGCAGTCATCGTTCCTCTTGAATCGAGAGCAGATATTAAATGCTCTACTGATGTAAGGCACAAGATCACATTGGTTAAACATGAAACTCAAACATACACAAAAGGATGGCAATGGCATCTGCGTGCAGGATGAAAGTACCTGCAAGGGAAGTGTTGTTGATGACGGTTGCTCCACGGCCGGATATTCGGTAAGAATGGCAAACAAAACAGCCTTAAGCAATTGACAAGCACATCCGTTAATCCATACTCCAGTGCTGCGTTCCTCCTGACGCCGATGACAAAGAGGACGATGTAGACACCGATGAGGGAGATGAAGGCGTTGGCCCTGACGATGGCGACCACATCCCTGACGATGATGACAATGAGCCTGCCATTACGGCTCGCGATGTCTCTCCCTTACTCGTTCCGCGCAAAGACACTTGCGGGGTAAAGGTCTACAAGTTCGCTCTAAAGCAACGCGGTGTTCCCTACAAATGGGGCGGAGGCGACTGTAATGGTCCCACCAAAGGCGGATTCGACTGCTCCGGCCTCACCAAGTACGCCGTATGCAAGGCGACCAGCAAGAAGAAGGTCCTGCCGCACAGCGCTTGGAAGCAGTACAAGTCCAAAAAGTGCAAGCACATCAGATATGCTAACCGCCAGAAGGGGGACCTGGTCTTCTGGAGTACCAAGAAGAGTGGAAAGTGCACCAAGGATTCGTCGATCAAACATGTGGCCGTTGTGCAGAACGACAAATATATTATTGTTGCTCCGAAGGCTGGACAGAAGGTCAAGCGCCAGAAGATGTGGTCAGGCCATGGCGGTTTGTACAGGTGCAACTATGTTGCGAGGTGTTGCTAGGTTTGCAATAACTGAGAAGAGATTTTAGGGTCCCAGTTTGTTTTGGATCTTATGGAAAGATGTTTACCGTTCTTGTTTATCGTCTCTTGTGGTATATTCCTGTTATAAAGCACACCTGCCACTCATTTAGCACTTAATCTTTAGGTCTTGACATAGCTTATGGGTTATAGTATTTTATGAAAGTTGATGTACTATGAGCGCTTTAAACCTCCTCGCTTGTAATCATACTCACACAGATGTATGGCTCCGCGCTGCGCAATGACGTTGCTACAAATAAGATTTCAGTATGCACCTAAAGTTTCTTTTTCAAGCACGCATGTTCGGTCAGCTCCACCTGTGGCTCTAGAGGCAGCCGCTCGCTACCAGCCTAATCTCATGCACCATCGCTGACGCCATCGTTTTAATTGGCTGGAAGGGAAAATTGCTGGAGTTGCGGCAGAAATGTGGCTGATGAGGAGCGCTGCAGATATGCCCTAACTAGGCGTTGACCACGATGCGTGAACCGCTCTTCCTTGTGTACTTGCTTGTTATTAGGCAAAGTTTCTCAATGAATCTCGGCTCTTATCAAAAATTGCATGTTACGATTTGCTTCGATTATACTTTACACAGTCTAGGAGGCGGGCGGACATTCATCTCCCCATGTAAATATCTCCGAACAGGGTTTCTCCTCTTTAATCTCTTCGTGTGAATCGTCTCCAACCAAGTTTTTTCACTCCTCTGTCATGTTTGCGACAGCGCCGACAATCGGTTTACCACAATCTACATGCCTTGGAGCAGCGTATACAGTAAAGTCAGGCGATGTATGCATGTCCTAGAGGGGTTAGGACCTGATTCCGCTACAACACATCCTTGAGTGCTTAGATCCGTCTATCCTCCCTCAGCTTGGCAAAATACCACACGACACTACCCGCAGCGTTGTTGCCAATCTGCTATTGATTTCGCCAAGTCGTATTGCGTACCGAGATCAACGTACAGCTTGGTCAATGTTCAACCATTGAACGTTTGTTATCCAAACCGCTTTTCAAATGCCCGTTAAGAAGAGAAGAACCTGCTGTACAGCCGCCGGGGGAAAAGAAGGATTTTCTCTACTGTTTACCCCCGCTCTTCCCAACAATGGGGTAAAAGGTAATACCGTAGAACACTGCGGGTTTAAAACGAACATCTTTTCACGAATCACAGCCCAGTTTGCTTCAGCTAGCGTGGCGTGTTCATTTGGATGAGGAAATTTTAGCAACAGAGAACTCTTTTTCTAAGTATCAATATACTGTGTTAGGGACACCACGGAAACATTCATGTTTGAAGTGTGTATTTGTTTGTGTTTGTGCCAAACGTGGTACATGTTGCTTTAGTTCTGGGAGGGAACTGGATGTCAGTTAAATGAGTCATGAAGCACAGGGATTCCTTCATACAGTCTCGCCAGGGCATGGGAAACTCCCGAGGTAAAAATCCTTTGAACTTTCTGGAAGGGAGCTGGCAATCGTTGTGTTTCGATTAGCTTGAGTCATTCAACAACTTCTTTACGAAACGATTTTCCAGCTATTTTCCACTGTAGGAGTTTTAGGTCACCCGTCAACCCCCTAAACTATATCCATTCACAATCTCAATAACACAGGCCAAATTTGTTGCGAAGATGAAAAATTGATATTGCTAGCGGAGGATCCTGACTGTTACATTGGACGCATGCTACGCCGCATCCCACTTCAGTGTATTTAACAATGATCACACTTTTTGGCGCCAGGAAGGTCTAACATTCTGCAAAACTTTGCAACACTAATAATCAACATGCTGGGATTATAGGAGATGGAGGACTTTGGCACCATCGCTAATTGTGCTTGCTAGTCTATGTTCGCAGCCGAATTTTGCGAGCAGCCCTCTTATGTTGCGCTGAATGGCACCTAACTGTCTTGTAGTCTTCGTGGCGTCGAGAGTCGGCATTTGTATATTTTGTAAATGCGATGGCCTTGGAATAGACGACTTCATCACCGTATTCTGCGTCGTTGTGATGCTCATCACATGCACCCAAATCATGATCGGCATCCAATACTGATCTGGAAGTTTTTACTCCCTAATTTCGCCATAATCGCTGTTTTCAAGCGCAATATGAACTATAGCCTTTAAGACGACGATACTATTCTGGAGCCCTGCGCTCAGCTCCCAGGCCTGTGTATTGGCTACTTAGATCTGGTGAAACAAGCAATGCGATCTGGTCAAATTCGGCTGGGACAGAACCATACCGGCTGGAAAATTTGCTAATACCAAGGTCATGCCAGATTTGGGCTATTTCACTTCGACCTATTCTGCCTTCTTAGACGTGTTTTCCGCTGTGTACCAGATTCTATATATTATGCGCCTCAACATGCCACTCAATATCCGCATCCTTGCTTCATCATCACCATCTACAAACACATAATCTCTGGGTAAACTTTTGTAGTACTGACTGATAACCCGACTTGTAAGTTACTCATCCGACATGTTTCTCAGCACAGAACTAACTTGGTAGACCCGATCCCGCTTCTCGATACACCTAGTCTAGGGGAGGGTTGTATTATTGTGGGATGATCCTCGTTGCCCACATTGGGCCCGCTCTTCGGCTTAGCCAGAGGCAAAGTTCGGACTCTCAGTGGCAGTAGGACCGCCAGCCAGGGACGATGCAGCAGCGCCACCCAACGAGGGCCATTTAGCACCAGCGGAAGATGGAATAAACTGCAAGGGCATTAGTTGGGTGACAAGGAGTGGACATCGAGCCACGCATGTGAAAGCACTGATGACATGCCGCTCGTTTACCATGGCGCAGACCAGATCCACAAGACACTTGAGTTAAAGGTGACCACGAGTGCAATGGGTGACCGACGGGCGAAGCCAATTGACAACTGTGGCACGTAGCTTGGTGTGAGTGTTGGGGCCATTACTTCCTCTCGGCATCTACGCACGCCATAGGGCAGCAGCATCGCGGTGATGATCTCATTGGGAAAGCTTTAGTATTTTTGAGATGTTGTTGTTGAGGCAATTTTATCAAGGCAAGGAACTGTGAGAGAAGGCGACTTGAGCGGTAATTCAAAGCAACGTTGAATCTCATGTTCCTACAGAATATCTCACTTTCCCTTAGTGACAGGGTTATTTCAAGTACTCAACATAGAGCATTCAGCAACACCGAAGTTCAAATGCTACAATAGGTACTAATCGGTAGGTCTTGTTGAGGTCGCTCGCGCAAGTTCGAGGGGCTGCATGCCAAGCACGGCATGCCAAATGTGACGTGAGAAGTACGTCGTGGCCCAACCGGTGGGTCTGCCCTTAGCATATCCTTGCTCACTCGGATCTTGGATACCGTGTCCTCAACTGATCAGTGCTACCCAATTCAACCTGCATGAAATGAATTGTGCGGCTTTTTCTATATAATTCGGGAGTAATTATTCTATCGAGTAGCTGTGTAATAAAATGATATCGTGGAAGTTTGGCTGTGGCGGTCACGTAGGGTTGTTGAGGACAAACCACGTATTAGGAAAGGTACATATGAAAAAAATGGATCTTAGTACGCACTTATCTGTTACAAGAAATGTACTAACTACTATAGTATCAAAAAACGCTTTAGTTGACCAGTAGATATGGCCAGATTTTTACGGTAGGGAAGAACATTTCCCTTTGTCAAACAATCGACTGCGTGTCGTTTCTGTTATTCCTGCATCTTTCCCCAAAAGTTAATTCCCATTTACAAAATGACATCAGCAGACCAACTAATCGGAGCCCTGGAGGGCTTCGACGCGAACTCCTTCGTCAACGAAACAGAGCGTGTTCGTGCCATGAATGCGCTGAACCTGGCCTTGAGCAAAGTACACAAGCCGTGGGACATTGTTTGGCAGCACTGTTGGGTCAATCCGGCCACCAATGCATGCATCAAGACGCTGATTGACCTGGGTGTCTTCAGCAAATGGATTAAGAGCGGAGGCGGAGAGAAAACGTGCGCGGAACTGGCCGAGTTGACTGGTGCTGATGTAGAGCTTATTCGTAAGTTCCACATCTGCTCTGTTTAACTTATGATGAAAATTTTGACGGCAATGCAGGACGCATGATTCGGCAAATTTCTGGGCAGAATCTTGCGATCGAGACCGCCGAGGACACTTATAAGCCTACCCCGTGGGTACGCGCTCTCGCTGAGGATCAGGCCCTCTCCAACGTCTATGGTGAATTCTATGGCTTCGTCAATTCCCCCATGTTTAGGACTCTGCCAGCTTACCTGAAGAAGACGGGATATAAGGTCCCTACTAATCCCAACGACTGCAACTGGCAGTTCATGAGAGGCTCAAATGAAAATCTGTTCCAGTCCCTTAGCGCGAACCCTGCCGCCGCAAGGGAGTTTAATGATGCCATGGAGAGTCACTCCAAGCACAACTTGACGCCCTGGGTTGATGTTTACCCCACTAAGGCTCTTGTAAAAGGGTTCAAGCCTGACCGTCCCCTGGTCGTCGATGTCGGTGGTAGCAAGGGCCACGACCTGATCAAATTCCATTTGCGCCACCCTAATATCCCTAAGGGTAGTCTGGTGCTTCAGGACCTGCCCGATATACTTAAGGAGCTGGCTATTGACGACACCATCTCCATCTACCCTCATGATTTTTTTAAACCACAGCCCGTGAAAGGTGCCCGTGTCTACTTTATGCACAACGTGCTGCACGACTGGGAAGATACACAGGCGAAGCAGATCCTTTCTCACCTTGCCGAAGCTATGGAGCCCGAATACTCGAAACTTCTTATTCACGAAAGCTTGGTCAGCTCTGTGGAGCCGCTTGCTCGTGTGACAACGTCCGATATCACCATGATGGCGTGTCTTGGTGCGAAGGAAAGGACGGAGGCTGAGTGGTTGGCGCTGGTAGAAAGTGCAGGATTGAAGGTAGTTACCATCTGGAGACCACCTTACTCTGTGGAAAGTGTGATTGAGGTAGAGCTAGCTTAGACCCTTGAACATTTCGTTGTGTAACGCAAACAGCAATTGCTTTATTCGTACTTCATATCAGTGTAGTAGTGTAATCAATACAACACAATCATTAAACCTGTCCCATACCTTTTTTTCAATAAATTATTTCATTATACTATCTTATATTAGTTACTGAACATAGTTCCAGATACACACTTGGATCAGTTGATGTGTATTTACACGTAAACGCTAGAAGTCTATTACAATAAAGTAAGGAGAGTGGGCTAGCACAATTAAATACGCACTAATTTCATTGCGTTTCTAGACTTTCCAAATCCCTTATTTAGTAGGACAAGTAATTTTACTCTGCGATGGCTCTGAGGTTGTTAGTTGCCTTGTGAATTAGTGGCGTTCGGGGCTGCCGTATAGACGTGCTAGAACTAGGCTACTTTTAGCTCCCGCTTGTCTGTGCAACAGACTATTTGCAAGCCACTTCAGCCTCCAGCGCTGTACCGCGACTCAGGAGAACCCTCGCATATTTCGAACTTTACTCGTCCTCTTAATCATTTCAGATCACATTTAACTCTCAAGCATCTTCGAACGAAGTTCCGAATTTATTTAGTTATGCTTTCTATAACCTATGGATTCTTTCAGAAAATTCCAGAACTTTGAGATAGTGAGATGTTGTTGGGGGAAAGTGGCTTAGTTAGTGTCCTCGTAAGGCTTAACTAGCCTTCGTGTGCTTGAGTCGCCGATGGATCTCGACCGCTCCCCCTCAATAGCGCTCCACAACAGGAACACAGCGCTCTGCGCCCCTCTTTCTCAACGAGATATTCTCTATATATGCTGTTCGCCCCGGGTAGCTACATGTGGCAATCAACACGTCGTTCTTTTTTTCTCTTAATAATAACTACCGACAGCTTTCTGGGCCTTTACACAGAAAGGCGTCGTTCACTCACTGCTAACAATAATGCGGTCTGCTGTTTTCCTGCTAGCGCTGATTGCCCCCTCGCTGGGCATGGTGGTGCAGCAGCAGCAACAGCACTCGTGTACCAAGTCTAAACAACCGGCTGTTACGCACCCTGCATTGACGGCTGCTCCGAGACAGACCTCGCCTGCTGTCGTTGCCAATGGCAGATGTGGTCCTGCATTTGGGGGAAAGACGTGCACTGGGAGCCGGGCGGGGAAGTGCTGTAGTAAAAGGTGGGTTGGACGAGATTTCCATACATTAGCTCTTTTGACCGGAAATACTAACGATGGGTAGTTCGTACTGCGGCTCGACTTCTGGTTAGTTTTATAGGAGAATGCGTAGATTTAGGGTCTGGAACTAATATTTCTCTAGATCACTGTGCCGCCGATCAATGTCTAAAGGGATATGGCAAGTGTGATGAGCCTGTGGGTGCTGGATATGGGAGAGTCAGTCGATCGTCTCCTCCAGTTTCTCCAACGACTATCCAGTCCAGCTGCACTGGCTCGAGCACTAAGACGAGTGTGAGGCCTAGCTCTTCTGCGCCAGTAGTGACGTCGAAGAATGTCAAGTCTAGCTGCACTGGATCGAGCACCAAGTTGAGTGTGACACTTAGCTCCTCTGCAGTGGTGATTACTCCGACCCCTGTTATTTTGGTTTCGACCTCTTCCTCAGCACTGTACTCGGTCATTGTTGAAGTCAAGTCTTCATCTATTGAGTTTCAGCCATCATCTGTCCAGGTACTCCCATCATCGTTTGTTGAGGCACTGTCATCATCTCTGGTTGAGCTACAGTCGTCATCCATGGAAATCCAACCATTGTCTGTCGTTTCATCCATGCCTTTGCCAGCGAGCTACACACCTACTCCCGAGCCTACGCCTGAACCAACGCCTGAACCAACGCCTGAACCAACGCCTGAGCCTTCTCCCGAACCAACGCCTGATGTTTCAAGCACTCTAGCTGTTGTGTCTTCTCCTAGTCCTTCCCCGTCGACATTCAGCACAATTACGATCAGCGTCTCCCCTTCTCCTTCCCCAGCTCCAAGTGGTCTATGCGATGGCACCCCTTACACAGCAAACTCTGGGCGTAACTACAAAATCGGCTGCGATTCTAGATGTAGTTCCGCACTATCAGTCCTAGCAAGAACTATCCAACCTAACTTTCAAATGTGTATAACCTATTGCGACACTAGGTTTGGCACTAACTCGTACTTGGGTGTTCAATACCAAAGAGCGGGTTTTAGTTGCACATGCTATATCAGTATTAACTCAAATTTCCAACCAATGTTAGGAACAGATTGCCACTCCTCCTACTAGCAGAGAAGCCTCTAGCGCTTTCTTTCAGCTCAAGCTAGGACACTGCTATCTAAGAGATTTCCTCTTCAAGCG